GGCTAGGTTGGACAAAGTCTTGGCGCAGGTTGTCGAAGAGGGCAGGAAACTCTTCGGCGCTGACAAGAGCAAGCAAACCAGGGATACATCCATCATCATGGCGTGGTGGTGAGTGGTGATCACGGCAGAAAGCGGGGAAAAAAAGAAGGCAGGCAGGGGAAGAGAGAGGGGGAGAGAGGGAGGTTGAGGGGGGGGGAGGGAGAGAGGGAGAGAGGGAGAGGGAGAGAGAGGGAGGGAGAGGGGGAAGTGGCTGGCGCCGTTGTTCGGCTCAAAGGATGGCAGGGGAAGTTGTTTGAACTCACTTGAGAATATCACCAGCAGCAAAAAGATCAGCTTGTGGCATCAAGGGCGGGAGGGCGAGCTGTTGCCGCAGGTCTTCCGGGGTCACGCCCAGGTATGTGGTGCCCTGAAGTTGTTGTGCCTGTGCAGGCATGAAAAGGGCCAAGGCGCAGATGCACAGGGCCGCTGGCGCCCGGTCGGTGCCAGGACGGCGGCGCCGGTGCTCTGGCCCGTGCGTGGCCATGGTGGGCAAAGCCAGCGAGCAAGGGCTGGTCTAGCGACTCCAAACCGGGTCGCGCAAAAGACCACACGGAGCCAGAATACCCTTGTTCCCGCTCCGCTGGGCACGTCGTCTCGTCTTGCTGTCGGAGATCCAGAAGATCCGCGCGCTTTGAGCCGCAAAGTGTGTTTGAGGGAAGAAGAGGTGAGAGAGAGAGAGAGAAGAGAGAGAAGAGAGAGAAGAGAGAGAGAAGAGAGAAGAGAGAAGAGAGAAAGAGAGAGAAATGAATTGGTTGAGAGAGAGAGAGAGAGAGAGAGAGAGAAAGAGAGAAAGAGAGAGAAGACGGAGATGAGAGAGAGAGTTTTACAACAAAGGGCAGAAATCAACAAAGGAAGGAGTTGTATCGCAAATCACAAGTGGTAAGTCAGGAGGATTTTCAACCATGTTACGTACATGAGCCAACCAGCTTGTTCAGCTTGTCCAGCTTGTACGTGATGTTAGGTGGTGGGGCGCGGCCTTTGGCGTGGGGCACGCATAACTGCAACACGATATCAGCACGGGTAATGCCATAGCCGTTTGTCCTATGCTTGATATAAAGTGTGATATTCAACAGACTTATATACCCACACCGCTTTCCCAGGGACAACAGCCTAGGACAAGTGGTGAATTGAGAGAGAGAGAGAGAGGAGAGAGAGAGAGAGACAAAAGGCGTTTTTCGCTCGAGCAGGTTCGTCTATAACATGCATCAAAAAAACAAAAGCTGCGCAATAAGGAGTATGCGTGTTGTGTGTGTGTGTGTCTCCGGATCCAGACGTGTGTGTGTGTGTGTGTGTGTGTGTGTGTGTGTGTTCGGGTGCCAGGAGCTGGTGCGGGTTGGACAGGAGCTAGGCAGGGAGGGGATCTGCCTTGTTAGTAGAGGCGAGGGTGTGATCTCATTGGGACCTTGCACCGTCCTTGGCAGCTCCTCCTGTCTCCCCCCGCCTCTCTCTCTCTCGCTCCTTTTTTTTTTTTTTTTTTTTTTTGGTGGGGGTTTGAGGATTGAATGTGTCCGACTCATCATTGAACACACGCGCCTGTCGCTGCACCGCCTGGTCGTTGAACACCATCATTTGCAGAGCCTGCTCTGGTTCGGCTGGGAGCCAGACCCCGTTCATTGGTCTTGCACCTTCCTTGCGCGGTAAGTTTCTTGCCGGCAGCAGTTTCAGGCTCGATTTGCCATTTGCTGAACCCTAGACGGCCCTCATCCCCTGCCTTTTTGGTTTTTTGACACCTCCCCCATTGGCGCTCATCATGGCGGGCGCCTCGGTCCAGGGCCCCATAGAAGCCCCTCGCTCTTGCCTATCAAGCTCTCGGCCAAAAAAGAAAAAAAAAAACTCTCCGCACGAGCTGTCCAGCTCTACTGTTATCTCTCTCTCTCCCGGGAGGGGGGGCTTGGCTCTCCCCCGACCCCACCTTCACACTCACGCGTCCGAATGCGTCGAGAGGTCCAGAGGTCACTGCAATGATGATGTGGCTCCTCCTTCTCCTCCTCGCGGCCATCAGCTCTGGCGGGAGCAGCAGCAGTCTACCTATGCCACCGCTCCGCTACAACCTCCATCTGAGTGACCAGCAATCTCGCTCTCAACTCGACGCCGAGGTATGGATTGCTGCAGACACACCTCGTTCTTTGATGTACTCCTCAAGCAGTCGGAAAGCATTCTTTCAGACCTTTTCCAATGTGAACTGCCTTGTTTGTTGCTTTTCCTGTATGGGCACTCGCCTCTCATCCAGGCCCCCTCTTTGTTTCTGCGTGTCCCCCTCCCCCCTTCCTCACTCAGCTCGTGGTGGGCGCAACGGTCGAGGACCCCACCCATTTTGCTGCCCAGCTGCACGGCGTCTCTTTTCAACTCAATGGTGCCCCGCGTCATGTTGAAGCATGTCTCACAATTCCCTTTGAATTTGATTTGAGTAATGGCACCGCTGGAGACCTCATCAGGGTTGTTGACGATGATTCAGCACTTTGCCTTCAAGTCAAGCGCGGTACTGCTTTGCTCCTTCCCTTTTTTTTTTGACTCATCGACCTTTGGCCCTCGCTACACATCATGTACGGTAGCTCGTTACTTAAACTCATGCCACCGTGATCTTTCTGCGTGCCCTTTTTGTTTCACCCCATAATAGCCATCGTACACGCGTTTGAGACGCATGTAGCCAACCCTGGGACCCCAACAGCCGAGGCGCTCAACGTCACCTGCTCGGCCCCTCGCTGCCAAGGCTATGTGTACGATGGCCAGGCCCTCGAGGCAGCCGGGCACGGACCCGACCCACACTCATCCACTTCAGTACCCACGGCCCCTACAATCAGCTTGCGCCGCCGACGGGTTGATGAGCGTGACCCCGACAGTAAACTCGCGCGTGGTGACCGCCCTCCCATGGCCACCCACATCGACGAGGCCGTGCATGACTGCACTCCAGAGGCCCTTTTGCCTCACCGCGTGCGTCAAAGCAGTTCATTTGAGCTCAACCGTGTTGATGCCGAGCAGTTTGTCTCCTATGATCAAACGCACATGGGGGCAGACGTGCATGGCCATCGCCAACATCAAGCCATGCTGCGTCTTGACCTTCTGCCCGTCAATCCAATGCTGCCAGTTCCCTCAATGGATTGTACCACGCTGCACTGTGTGGCTGCCCCGATCGAGCACGACAGCACACAGGCTCTGCAGCACCACCGGGACAAGATGGCCGGGGACTGTTCACTCAATGCTCTGTATGAGCAGTTGGCCCAGCTGCAGGCAGCGCAGAGCGCCGCTGATGATGACAACCACGCCGAGGTGGCACGCCTGGCTGCTCATTTTGACAAAAATATTAGTAGTGCCAGCTGTCTCCGCAACTTGGCTGCTCTCCTCACCACTCTCTTGGCCCAGAATGCGGACGACGCCGTGGCTCAGCATGGTTTGATGTACCTGGCTGCCCATGACGGCGGCCAGCACTACGCCTACGCTCTCTATCAACAATACCCCTCTGGCCCCAGTATGCGAGCCCTTTTTTTTCTGCCCAGCCATGACGATGTCCTTGTCGAGCATGTGCGTGGTGTCGTCAACGATCCTGCTCAGCCCACCGAGGTCCGACAGGCAGCCATCCACGTGCGTCAGCGTAGCGTTTTTACCAGCGACAACAGCACCCGCCTCCTCGAGCTCTTGGTTGATGCGGAGTTGCATCTGGACAACACCTCGACCGACTGTGATTGCCCAATCGGCCGCAACCTGACCTCTCACTACCTTCACGTTCTCGGTTCGCTGCGTCATCCATCGTGGCATGACCGCATTCATGTCACCTTGGACCAGGCCTTGCGCCACCCCTGTCCCAACACCACCCTGGACGCTCTGTCCGCCATCAGCCGCCTAGCCTCCAACCACAGCGCTGAGCATTTACTCGATGCTGCGCGCGAGCATGATAATCAAGCGCTGCGCATGTTGGCGTACGACGAACTTGCCCGCCTTTTGCGCCGCCTTGGCGCAACAACCACTGAGCCATCCCTTGTCGCCCTTGACTCGGCTTGGACGGCCCGCACCCAGCCCGTCGTCCATCGCCTGCTTGATCACTGCCACGATCTATTGCCACGCTTTGCCGACAACTTTGACCTGATTGACGATGTCTTTGCCTGCTTGGGCACCGCGTCCCAAGCCACCCGCCCTCACCCACAGCTTCGTACTCGGCTGCTTGCAGCCCACACCACTTACGTTGCTCACCTCGAGCAGCATGACCGTCGACGCCGTGCTGCCGGCGCCGAGTCCTTTTTGTCCGAAGAAGTGTTGCAGCGCGCCAATATCTCGACCGCCCACCTGCCGCTCAGCCACCTCCGGCGCCGCGCTGCTGGTGAATCGCCCATTACCGGCATCACGTTGGTAGATGAGGAGTTTGGCTCCCGACAACAGAAGCGCAATATCCTTGGTATCGATGTTCTCAACGTGTTTCTACACCAAGAGACAGCATCCTATGCTGCTATCCGTGTCGGTACCCAGGGCGTTCACGCTGTTCTGCATGCTGGTATCGACTACCGCGCTGGTGCTAATGTATACTCGGGCAGCACCGATCTCGTCTACGCCGTGGCCATGCTCCAATTTGGATACTCTCTCAAGATTGATGCGGCTCTGGATGCTCTTTCCCAGGGCACTCGTATCGTTGAGGGTGTGGCCAAGAGTGTTCTCTCTATTGCCAAATCCCTGGGCCTGCGCCTGTATGAGTTTTTGGAGCCATACATGAGCTTCGTCCGCGATATGATCGATTACGTTAGCAAGCAGAACATTCTCCTTCATGCCACCGCGGGCTTGAAGGCCGCCCTCGAGCCCCTCGATGACATGACAGACGACTTGATGGATTTGGCCGCTAGTGCCATCGAGCAAAATGCACGACCTTTGCTTGTAGAAGCCAATGATACTTTGACCCAGCTCAAGGTCTATACGGCCGAGGCCAGGGGGCGTTCCTCCTCGTTGTTTACCCTTGTAGAAGAGCTCATTCAACCGGACGGTGAGTTGTCCACGCTCAGCAATCAAACCGGAGTGATGGGCGACATTGGCCAAGTGTTGACCGTTGCGGCCAGCGCGCTCAGCAACGTGCATGAGGGCTTTGATACTGCCGCCAATTTGGTCTACGTGATTGGCAAGTTTATGGATGGCATGCGACAACAGCGCGCAGCAAAAGCTCAAGTTGCCAGCGCCAACGCTAGTCGGCGCCGCCGAAGCCAAGGTAACGGCACAGAGGTCGCCGTCAATGGCACTGGTGGCCAAGACCTCGAGGCATTGGCTGGTGAGGTGGATACGGTACGCGCCTCGTTGGATGCGCAGGCTCGCGATCCCCTGCCTGAGGATGCCCTGGAGGCCCTGACACAGGGACTCGAGGCCATTCAAGCTGCCCTCACCGTGAACAACTCCGCCTGTCTGACCCCGATCACCCGACCTGCATACGTGCAAAACCCCTGCAATGTGGACGGCGCCTTTGGCGTGAGCACCGACTTCAGCGATTCGCTCCTCGTCGCGCCTTTCAATTTTGTGCTGTACCAAGAGTCGTGCAACAAGACCGACCCTAGCGCGTGTACGGACACGGACGACTACATTGTGCTCATGGCAGTAGGTAGCACCGTCACGGTGCATCTCTTTGGAGCGGTGACGGACATTGCCGACGGCAGCCTTGTGCCGTTGGGCGCCACGTTTGCGCGCATTGTGGGCTTGGATAGCTGTGCTAATGCTGTGGCTTATTTCAAGACAATCCGCGGGAGCCTGGATCTTGACGAGATTGCACCTGTTCTGCCCACGCGTCTGCGCCGCACGGACAAATGTGGTTCGGGCATCTGGAAATCACGCCGCTGCTGCAACGCCCAAGGAGATGTTTACCTGCTCAACGGCATGGACATGATTACCGCTCCAGGCGAAGATATCGTAGCCCCGTGTGACGGCAAGATGGTGCGCAGCGTCCGCCCCGACGAAACGAGTACGGCAGCTTGGAATGTGGGCATGTTAATTAAGTGCTCTAGTCCCTTTAGTGGCTTTATGAAGCTGGCCTACGTGGCACCGTTGCTCAATGCTGGTGACAGCTTTTTTCAAGGCAGCGTCATTGGTCAAGCACGCGACGTGCGCTCCAAATGCGCACGCACCATGCTCAATCATGTGTACACGGAGGTTTTCAGTGGGCCCTCGGCGCTCGACCGTTATCGCATCGATCCTGCAATGGCCTTGTGTGCCGAGCCGACAGCCATTTCTTTGGGCGGAGAAGACACGCCCCTGTATGACCCCGATGCCCCGTGCAGTGCTCTTCAAGGTACTTGCCAGGACACCAGCAGCGCCTGCGGTGGACCCTACGTGAGCCTTTTGTGTGCCGGGCGGGTTTCGCGTCAGTGCTGTGTTCCCCAAGACAGTCCTTGTCAGGATGCCGGAGGTGTTTGCCAAGGCATTACAAAGGACTGCGACGGTACCTTTTCACCTGGCAAATGCGCGGGATCGACCAGTCGCCAATGTTGCATGCCCCGGGTTGATCCGGTGATCCCAGATGATCCCGTGAGTTTGATCGACGTTCTGGTCTCTGATCTCAAGCCCGCCTCCTTTGACACGGACAAGATCCCCGTTTCTCCAGCATCCTTGGCCGACTACATTTATCGTTGTCAAATCAGCGATGTGGACATGATGGCCCTGCTTTTGGCGCTTGTTGAGGATAACAATGGCTTTGGAAATGTACTGGAGACCTGGCTCGTCAATGATGTCACAACCCGCTTGTCAGTTGGAGCTGGGCCGATGGACGTTGTAACAAGTGACTTTCACCTGACTGGCACCCGGCGCAGTACTGTGCTGCGCCGCCACGCAGAGCTGACGCGTGGCTTGGACATTCGCAACTGCTTGCGCCTTGATGGCGAGTGCATTGCGACGACGCCGAGCTTTGCGGACGCTCTTTGCGGTGCCCAGCAGTCAGCCTGTGTTGCACCTGGACTACCCGCCACCACCACGACCGAGGCGCCAACCACGGCCGGCGGACCAGTAGTCCGCGACTGGGATGCAGATATCGAATTTACGGGATTTGGCCTGGGACGACCCAAGATTCCTTTGGAGACGGTCAAGCTAAAACCTGCATGCCGTCGTCGTCGTGATGAGTGGCCGTGTACGGTCAAGGGCATTGCCGCCGAATTTTCCGTTGATGTACCGGTCAAGCTGGAAACAAACATCACCTGCACAAGCACGTGTACATCCGGTGGTGCTAATTGCGCCCCTATTTCGTATGACCTGCCTTTTACTTTGGAAGTAGTGATCCGCGGTGATATCTCCAAGGTGTATGGCATTAAATGGTTGGTCAAGAAGCTGGGCATTTTAGCTATTTCCTCTCTAGTGACCGGCGGTACTGCGTCAGTGTTTGTCTCTGGTGCCATTTGGACTGCTGAGGCGGCCCTGATTATCGCTGACATTTATCTCTACGTAAAGGGGATGATTAGCTTTGTCCAGAGCGTTGTCAAGTCGGCCGTCATCAGCTATTCCAACACAAATATATGCGAGCGCTTTGAATCGCGTCGCCCCACCATCAAGTTGAGCCTCAAATACGATGACTTGGTGCACAGCGTCATCACGCGCAGCGAGCCCATCAAGTCACTGATGTTCGAGCTAGATATTTCCGACAGCGTTGAGCCGGCACCGTCCGACTCGGGCTCACGCCGCCGCCGAACGGCAGATGATCTTGATGACGAGTTGGACGATGGCATCCCCAAGTGCTTGTGTGATGGTGATTGGAATGATGAGAGTTCATGCCGGGCGCTTGGTGAGGCACTTGGCGTCGAGACTAGTTGTGTCGACGCAGTTTTGGTTGCTGCGCCGCGCCGCGCCACCGAAATTACCTATGGCCGTCCTGACCTGCGGCCCGTCATTCATCAGGCGTGTGGAGCAGTGACTCGTCTGGATGGATGGCTTCAGGGAAGTGGGGAAACGGTTGCCAATGTCAACAACTTGCGCACCGTCGCTAATTTTGTCAACTCCACCATGGGTGAGTCCACAGACGAGATGATGTATGCGCTCTCTGCTCTACATGACATTCTACAAGACACCACACTAGGCAACGGCATCAACGTGATGGCCCATGCTGGTCTCGATGCGCTGGGTCATCTGCGCACTGCCATCGTGTTTGCGAACACAACCCTCTACCGTGTCCGAGACCGGGTCATTGGCGGCTTGATGGCCCCCGACCTGATTGCTGACGTGACCGACTTGTATGCCACTCTCTCTGCCCCACTGCGCGAGCTGCGCTCGCGTCTGCGAACCTTCTTGAGTAGCAGCTTTCAAACTCTTAATACTACCATGCATTCCGCTGCAACACGATTGCGTGGCTTCGTGGCCAACATGGCCGATCGCGTTTTCGATCCAGAGTCCATTGAAGAGTTTAGCGCAGAGGTGGCCGAGGTTGTGGCCCCCATCCGCGAGTTTCTCGACCCCGTCTATGGTCACATCAAGTCATTTGTGGAACTTTTGCAGGAGATTGTGAGCATGGGCAGTGACGACCTGGTGGTTATTCGAAAACTCAGCGATCTTTTGGACGATGTCAATGACGTCATGTTTTACTCCGACCTTGTGATGAACTCAATGCAGTATGCATCCAATGCTTCGACGCTAAGCAATGTTATTATGGCATTTGCCGAGCGCATTGAGAACAAAGCACAGGATGCGATCAACTACTATCTCGATCAAGGCATGGACCTGGCTCTGGATGGTCTCAACACCGTGTTAGATGCCATGGATACGGCCTATCTGCCAGACCTGGAGGACGTAGGCGGCATTGTTGCTGACTTTAACAATACACTGCAACGTGTGATTGGCCATTACATTGGTTTTGCAGAGCGGCCTCTGGCCAAGGTTCTCGACTATGCCGACGACGCCGAGCTGGTCCTTGTGACTCTCATCACTCTGACCACAAAGTGGGATAAATTTGATGCAGCCACCAATCGGGCGCTACAAAGCACGGGCGTCTTGCCGATGGGCCCTGTTGCAGATTTGGCTGATGTTCTTGCTTACTATGATGAAGACATGATGGCCAAGGTGCAGACCATGAGGGATCTAGCCTCACGCTTGGGCACAACCTGCGACAGTTTGCTCTTGCAATATGAAGCTGTGGAGGCAGACCTCTTTGAACCCTGCTCGGCCAGTGCCATTTGTCCTCGCGACCAGTTCCTGCAGGTCGCTGCGGATATGGATGAACTAGCAACTCTGTTTACCGACAATCTGGTGGGACTCAATGACACCTTGGCCACGACAAACAACGGCACTCTTGACTCGCTCTTGAATGACACGGCCACCTCACTCAATGCCAGTACAGCTGCAGACAGCTCGCATGACCTGGATGCTGCCTATGACACGTTTCAGGGCGAGCTCAACACGCTTGAGGCTTTTGATACACAAAATCAACTTGCTGTGCATAATGACCGCCGTCGCCGCGCAGCTTGTGGCTGTGCTTATAGCTCGTGGCAAAACTCATACTCAGGCGCGGCCCGTGAGTTTACCGTCGGCTATTGCTTCAACAATTGCGAATGTCGCTGCGGCGCCTGTGATATGGCTGAGCAGGTGTATAATGAGTTTTTGCCGAGTGCTCCGTGGAACAGGGCGCCCATGTGTCCTGATCGCGTGGATAGCAGCGCAGCGAACAATCCTCTCTGGTTGCCCCTGCTGCGCAACACTGGGCTGTATGCCGCGGAATTTGGGCAAGACACGTATCGCCTCGAGTCAACCAACTATGCTTCACACTTGCATCAAACGTTTTGCGTGTACGACTCAGCCTTTCGCCTCGTCCAAACGCTGCCACACGCGGGGACCTTTATGACACACCGTTGCAGCATGCCGTTGCAGCGTGAGTTTGATGACCCCTTCTGCGTCAAGTACGACATTTTGACGCGCAAGCAGTGCGACACGGCTCGCTTCCTTGCGGCTCATCCCATCATGAACGGGCCTCCGCACGCTTGGCAAACAGCATCTTATGTGCTGGCGGTTGGAGTGGCACGCACACCTCGCGCCGATGGTCAACGCGAGCTAGAAAGCGTATTCTTGATCGAGAATGTGGGTATATTGGGTTATGGCGTCGTATCATGGGATGAGATCAAGCGCGTGCCTCAAAACGCCAACGCTCGAATCTACAAAATGGCTACCATTCGCCGTGCTTCCACCTTCTCATCCGGTGATGCCATTCTAGCATATCAACCCGCCACACGCAGCGGTAGTTTGACGCAGTGCTGGGCACCTGCTAACATCGAGTTGGCTACGGTGGACTTTTCGACCCCGAGCGTGCCGTCCCAGCTTGTGATGGCTGTGCGCCACTATACGACAGCTAGTGCTGGCCGTTCGGCCTTTGAATCTGTTGCATCGGCTCTGCGTAACTCGCCTTACCTTGAGACTTCTTTGAGCCAGATTCGACGCTTCCCCCAATCGGCTGCTCCCAATACCCCCTCGGCGCTACTCACGCAAGGTCTCATCCATGGCATCGGGTTTTCTCCTTATCCTATCTCAAACAAGACGATGACTTTGAGCTTTGAGACAACTCTGATCGACGTTGATGCCGATCATTTCAATGGCGTGCCTTGGGCACAAGGCTACCCCAGCCCGGCCTCGGTCAACTCTGCACTTCAACTCTGCGCCCAGTCAACTTGTGACTCTTGCACCTATCAAGAAAACCAACTCTTGGCCGTGTCTGCGGTCCTCAACAGTCCCGTGTCTTCGGCCGAGCGTCAATGCTTGCAATATCAGGACGACTGTGAGTGTCGCTGCCAGCTCTTTTTTGGGGTCACACAACCTTTGCTAGAAGCGGAAGCACCGGCTCCACTCGGCGCGCTGCTGCCCTGCCCTGCTCGTTATGCATCAAACCATGCCGGCTTTACTTCACCTTATGTGGCCGAGGCCATCCGTCACCCAACTCAGCCTCGGTGTATCCGGTCGTTGGCCAGCTTGAATCGTCGTCAAGCCACTGAGTGCTGCTATGACCCGGCCGGCGCCCTCATCACTACCTCGGTCGACGCGGGACGGCTCTTCCGCGAACATCCTACTCAGAGTAACTTGGAGAGCTATTACGTGTCTGACTTGGCACGTTATTTGGCCACTCCAGCCGTGCACATGCCCACGTACTTCCCCACTGTAGGTACATCGGCGACTTTTGCGCAGCGCTCCACATCGGGTCAAGTGGTATTGGCTGTTTCCAGTCTTGTTCGCGAGGGCTTCCTTCAGTACACGCTGGAGCTCTGGACAATGCCGGCAATGCGCTTCTTCCTGTCTTCCACAGACTTGGAAGCGCAAGGCGCTCGTCGCCTGGCATCGGTCGGGGCGCTGACTGCGCCTGCAGCTTGTGAGCTGCAGACGTGGTTATTCAATGGCAATTGTTACAACCTAACCTCTGTGACCACTTTGAGCGTGCTGACAAACACTCTCGGATCTCGTACCGAAGTCGTCCCTGTCGCCATCTTCGCCTCGCAGGCTGCAGGGCAAGCAGTCTTGGCCAGCGTGCAAACACGACTGACTAGCATGGATCTTACGCACATGTTCCCAGAGCAGTTTGCGTCCACACGGGCCCAGGGCGTATCCTATCTCAGTGCCAACGTACTAGCTCGAGCCATCAACGACACGGCCGTGGCTGACCTCCAGCTGGATATTCTGCGTACTGGATTATGGCCAGGATGGACTACGCGCACGCCACGCTTGACAGCCGATTTCGGCAGTTGGTGCGACACGGACAATGGCGAAGTGCTGGCTTCTGATCAGTTCATGTGCAGTGACTCCGATAGCCCCAACGTCATCACCTGCACATCAAGTGACGAAACACGCTTCTGCGGTTTTAACCGCTTGACACAGTTGGAATTTGAGGTTACGGCATGTCGTCATGAGACAACGGACGCCGATCAGTGCTCTTGTCGGTGCGACCAATGCGATGCGTTGCTGGGGGGTGGTGAAGTGGCTGCTCGCACGGCGTTTTTGCCCAACTGCCCACCAAGTCTGCAGCGAACGGGCGAGGACGCCGCGGTGCTCGTTGCACAGGTGCCATGGATGTTTGACCCTGTTCGTACCTTGCCCGATGGCCGCTTTGCTGTGCGCACGACTTCTCGGGTGCAGGAAGAGATGCAGCTAACCTGCTACTATGATCAGAATACCCTGGAACTGCTGACGAACTTTGCGACTGGCGGTCGCGTTATGCCGCGTCGTCCAGCTGCCTCTGCCTTTGCTGATCCCCTTCTGACAACGTGTCCTCTGGACTTAGCAGCTCCATTGCGGCCCCTTGGCGTGCGTCTCCCAGTGCCTGCAGTGCTTCAAGCGCCTGCGTCGCCACGCGTGCTGTTGGCGTTGGAATTGTTGGCCTCGGGTGAGTTTGCGCTCTCCCTCTACACAGGGGTGGCCCATTCAGCTTTTAGTGTGCTGACTATGGAGGAGCTTGTTCAGATTGCGCCATCGGCGGATCGTCTCCTGAGCCATACCATCACCGTGACTCGTGTCTGGGATCATGGTGAATTGCCCTGCACTTTGGCAGCCCGCCTTCCGGACACCCTGACTTACGAAGGTGAAGGATTTGGCTGCACACAGCTTACGCCTGTGAGTGTGCGCCAATTAGTGGCCAATGGTGCTTTTGGACGCATCTTCCCTCTTCGGTACTTTGATATCCAGTCCACGGCCCAATCACAGTACAAAAACCTCATTGCTTCGATACTTGCAGACAATCGTGTGGCAGATGCGGATCTCAACAATTGGCACACAGCCTTGAGCGAGGAGGCAGCCAGTGCTTTCTTCCTCTTGCACCGCGTGCGAAGTGATCTAGCACCTCAGGCGAGCCTCTACAAGCTGGACTACAACAGCCTTCCCGCGACGAACCTCGTTGGCGAAGGTCCACCATCCATGGCTGCTCCGGTCAGCAACTTGTTGTGCCAGCCCACTGATCAGGGTGAAGCGCTCGAGTTAACGTCTAATGTAAACGAGCCTAGCCAGTCAATGACATGTGCTGCATTGTCGACCAACCTCGCTGCTGCCTCGCGCCGGCTACTGGTGGTGGGCCTACCATTTCCGGCCACAGCTGCTACTGTGTTTTCTCTCGAGGGCTGGTCTAAGCCTGTGCCCCCCGTGTTGCTGGAGCAGCTAGTCGTCTTAACTACGCGCCTGCTGTCGGCTTTACAACGCATTCACGTGGATGCCGCTCTCAACGTCTCAGCTGAAAGCTTCGTTGAGACGGATGACTTGCTGTATGTGCGCGGCTTGGTTTGCCTACAACGCAATGCGCACGTCAACCATGTGGCAGGTTACTTTGCGCTCGAGAAGAGCGTCTCTCTGCGACGCTCCAACGCAACCTGCGTCGAGCTGGTTTTGCGGGCAAGTAATGGAACCGATGCTGCGGGCGCGGGCTCAGGCTCATCGGCGCTTGATGATTTGGAGGATAGTTTGGCCACTGCCAAAGAAGGCACGACGCCTCTCACGTCTTCCTCCACCACTGGCGTGCGTGAGCTTGACAATGTGCTGGATTTTATCCGGCAAGTGTACGAGCACGTTGATACGTTTGCCGTTGGCCCCCTGAAAGCCGTCGATGATGCCGTCGGCTCAGCGCTTACAGGCACGCAGAGTGCGCTGGACTTTTGCGATCGCGTTGGTGACATGCGGCTGTCAGACATCCTGACCGAGTTGCCCATTTTCAAAAGAACCATGGGCCTACTCGCAGACAGTGCTTTGGACAAGGTCGCACCTGTCGTGGAGCGCGTGGAAGGGGTCCTCGATGACGTGACTGACGCCATCAACGACGCCATCGACCTACTGACACAATCGGGTGTCCGCACCACCTTTGGGCCGCGCACACCCTGGAACCTGGTACCGGGCTGCCGCAATGCCACGCTGTGTGCTCGCAAGGAATCGCGCATGACAGCGTTGCAGCGCTTCATTTACCCATCAAAATATCCTTACCTATATGAGAACCGAAACTCGTACAATGGGGACGTGGTCAATTACTATACACAAGCAGGTGGCTATGACAGTTACTCAGTGGTGGGTGTTGCGCGTCACGCTGGTGTTCTTATGACAAGTCTCAAGCCCACAGGCTTGCGTGCTGCCGACGAGGCTCTGTTGGTCTTGGAACGGGCCAGCGACGGGGCCACGTTAGCCATGTACACCACAGGTGGATGTGCAGGTGGCCTCACCCGCTCCTACACGTTCCTCACCATGGCCTGCGAGGGCACGACACGGGTGCAAGAATATCTGCTGACCGATGTGGTGGCCAAGGCTCATACGCCCTCATCGGTGGCTCAACTTGCCCCCGCGCATACAGTCACAGTCGGCAAAGTTCTGGCTGGAGTTGCTTTTGATGCAGTCACCAAATCATCGAATGCGCGACTCTGGCTGCTGCTCGAATCTGGTGTCGCGGAGGCCTATACGGTCACTGTGACAGGGCACCTTACACTTGATCGAGAGGAGTCTGTCGACTTGGGCAAGAACGTCCAATCTATCGCGTTCCTCTCACAGCTAGCTTTCCCGTACATTGTGATTGGGCGTTCAAGCATCGAAGCTGGTGCCGTGGCCACCTTGCAGTTTGTAAGCTACCGGGATATTGGGGCTGGTGGTGTCGTCAGTTGCCTCCGAAACGAGCCCAGTGGATGTATCTACCGTGCCTTCCCAGTGCCCTCAGGGTTGTCGGCAATCTTTTATGACTCAAGTGACGGACTTTTCGGAACCCTGCATCTAGCGTGGAACTCAGCCACGGAAGAGCATGCCGATTATGTGAATGCGTATGATTTGGACCCAATGGACCAACGTATGGTGATTGACCTCCCAGTTCTTCGCAATCAGCGGCCCGCTGTTGTAGAGAACACATGCAAGATCGGCATCTTCTCAGTCGGCGACATCTGTAACGGAGAACTGATCCCAGGCTTGCCACCGGCTACACGAGAGCGACGCGATGATGAGTACGTCGAGGCATGGGATCCCAATCGCATTGCCTCTTACGATCATGAAAAGCCCATTTACAAGGGCGGTTTCAATCTCCCCAAGTTTGGGCCGTACTGCACGGCTGGTTTTCTGGGGCCCCTGTGCGTGACAGTCACCGTTGGTTATTCGCAGCACGTAACGCTCTACTTGACCATGGTCACTCAGGAAAAGAAGCTTGAGATTGGTGTCAGTGCGGGGGCTGCCTTGCATGCATATGTGGATGTGGAAAACATCGTTTTCGGTTTGATCGCTTTCGGCATTCGCATCGATGCCACCTTCTTCGACACTGCACTTGTGCCCTACGGGCAAGTGCGGTTAAACCGATGGCCTTTGCAGACAGAACTCGGCATCAAACTTATCATGCGGCCATTTGCGCTGCGTGTTTTGGCATATGTCGAGTTCATGCTCTGCTGCTGGTGCGATTTCGATTGTAAGTAACGGCAGCTTTGCCATGACATCAACGCCTGCCTGGCTACTCAAACAATCAGGGGTTACAGCTTTCTCATCGCATCTCGCCATGTTGTTTGAATGTCCGACAGGGTGCTGCAGCTTGAACTGCGGTTGTGGTCGTTGCGGCAAGAGTTTTTGGTTGCTTTATCAGTACGCTCCAGATCCTGATGAATATTACCTTTTGGGTCCTTATCGCTTGGGCCCAAGTGACGCTACTCCGCCACGTACGTGCAGCTTGTGCTTCGCTGCGTCAATGTCGCCTGCTGTCGTCTTTTGAACAGCGCGATATCATGATCTTGTCTTCTATTTCTTTGTCCGATGCTGTTTTACATTGATTAGGTATCGAGAACATCGTGATCAAGCAGCTTTCTGGCAACGCCGTACGCGTGGAGGTGTATGGTGTCATTGAACAAGAATCCGAACATATTGGTACGTTGCTTGTCAACTTTTTCTCTGTGGGGACCCGGTGGCGTTTCGGAGCAAAAATTGCTCACCTCATCATTGTGTCGTAATTATGTATGTAAGACACCATTGTACAAGTGGGGCACTCTGTAGGCAGCGGCCGAAAGTATCATTTGGGTACTGGAAGCTCGGTTGTGATTGAAAGCGAGGTTGCATGGGAGACCAACCGCTCCCTTTTTGCTACCGTCCAAGCTTGCAACTCTGAAGGGCGCTGCAACATGCAGTTCTCAAACGCCATCATCTACGACGGTCGTCCCCCGGTTGCGATTGGTCTCACGGATGCAAGCATCGGGGGCAACAATCGCAAGTTTGCCAATGGCAACATCATCTACATCACATACTATGACATTCAAGATTATGAGCACAATGCCATTGTCCAGCAGGAGTATCGTGTTCGCACAATGGGCGGAGCAGTACTAACTGACTGGACACCTCTGACCAGCTATACAGGCATCTACCTTGCTTCTCTTCAAGTTCCACACGCCAGTATTGTGGTGGCTGATGTTCGGCTTTGTGATGTGTTCCTCAACTGTGAGACGAGCAGCACGGACGGTTATTTTGTTGACAAGACCCCACCCCTCGCTGGTCGCATCGTGATTGGGGAGTATGGCGTGGCTGTGACGGCTTTGCGCTCTCCAGCGTATCTGGCCTTCCGAATTTTGGACTGTGTGGATCTCGAGACGTTTATTGTCTACTACGAGGCGGCACTTTACGCTGTCGACACCGCCGAACCCGTGGTCAACTTCCGGTACATTGGCAACAATACTGTTTCCAGCTTCAGCCAATTGAATCTTGAGCACAACCAGCGGTACTACGTGCGTGTCCGCGCCGTCAACGCAGCAAACCTTTCGGTTGAGTTTGAGTCTAGCTCGGTGTTGGTCGACCTGACCCCACCCGTCTGTAGTGCCCCTAGCACAACGGCGCGTGGCTCCCATGATGGGGCGGAGGTGACCTATTTCAGCCAACCGGATCTGGACTTGGTCACTTCCTTTGCTTGTGCGGACGAAGAAACAGGCCTAGCATCTTGCACCTACTTCATTGGAACCAATGGCATTAACAATGATTATCTGCCAGAAACTCAAACCCTAGGTCACGGTCGCCAAAGCATGACGACATCGGCGTCTTGGCCCAGCTCAACGCTGAACCCGGCCTTCTGCTACTACGCAGCGGTGCGCTGCAAGAATACGGCAGGTTCCACCTCAATGTTCGCGACGCCGTGCGTACGTTTGGATCCGACGCCACCCATGACCGAACCGTCGCTGCTGACGGTGGGCTCCAGCCAACTGCTGAGAGCAACTACAAACAACCAATCCTACTTCACCTGCAACCTGCATGGGGTGTTCGCCGATTTCCAATCAGGACTCGATTTTGCAAGCGTTGAGTTGCTGCACAGCGGCATGCCTGTAGCTACCGTTGTGTCCAGCACTTTTGACACGGTTGAATTTGTGCTCAACGACGCGCTGCACCGATCAGGCGATACCATTTCTTGCCGAGCCACAGCCTTTAATCGCGCGGGTGGCAACATGACTGTGACTGGCCCCGGTATCGTGACGGATTACACGGACCCTGTGGCTGGGTCCGTTGCGCTCTATCGTGAGGGCTTTGCCAACGCATCGGGCCCCTACTACCCCTCTGGCTCTACGATCTGTGCCAAATGGCGGCACTGTGGCAACTCCAGTGCGGCTGCGTGCCCCGTGGCCTCATTCTTTGACGAAACTGGCATCGAGGCCTTCCATTTGCGCCTCAAACTGCGCGATGTTGTAGTCTTGGACGTGGCTGTGCCCGTGTCTCCCTACTGCTATCAGTTGCCCTCTTCTCTGATCGGACCTCTCAGTTGGCAGGTGGCCGCTTACGACGAGGCCGGCAACTTTGCAACGAGCCAGGCATCCATCACCCTGGTCGCAGCTGGTCCTACCATATCAATCCAGGCTGCTCCACCGGCCGTGCTGTCCGTACTTTACAATCGCTTGACTTTGGAGTACACGGTTGTCGATAATCTCGCCAGCATTCGCAGCTGTGCTGTCAAGCTGGGGGCCTACCCTGGCGACGGCCGTTACTTGGCCATCCCTCTGACAGGCGATGCCTGTGGTGCAGGCCCACAGTCTGTTGACTCAGGCATCAGTGGTCTTGTTCATGGGATGACGCTCTACGCCACCGTGCAAGCCATCAACGAGGCAGGTTTCATCACGCAGAGCGTGTATCCCATTGAGGTCGATCTCGAGGAACCACGCATCTACAGCCTTCGGGCTGGATATAGTCAGAGCACGGGCGTACCCTGCATTGGCGCTACGCTGCCTGTGGCTGTGTCCTACATCGTCTCAAGCGACGTGCTGTCACTCGACATTGAAATTGTGCAAGATGGCGTTGCTGTCTCGCGAGCGCAGTACAGCGCCAGCATCACCAGTTCGGGCTCGCTTCTTGTGCCACACAATGCCAGTGGTCTTGTGGCGGTGCACGTCACCGCACGAGATGCAGGTGGCAACGAAGCTAGCGCCAGCGTCAGTGAGGTTCTACTCACCCCGGCCGTGCCACAATTTGATGGTGATCTGCGCATTGAGGGAACTCAATTGGCGAGTACCACGTGGACGCGGTCGACTACCTATGTGGCCTTTGCCGTTCCGACCTTGACAGGCGCGGCATGCTCGCTGCATGCCAGCTATGCTACAGTGACACGCAAGAGCGATGATCTTCAAGAAGAAGTGACGGTTGCCGTGCAAGGCGTGCAAGTGGGCACAAGTGTAGCAATTGTGGCCGATTTTATGGAAGGAGCGCAGCATACGCTAACCGTACGTGTTGTCGACGAGAGTGGGCGCTCCGCTTCGCTTGCCACGCAGTTTGTTCCACTAGCCACGCCACCCAGCTGCTCCTGGGCGAGCGCTGATATGATTTATGCAGCGCCCAATGAGGATGCAGTTGCAGGTTATCGCTGCACGAGAGCTGCATCGGTGCAGGTACTGGCTTGGGATCAGGATGGCGTTGCCGTTGATGCCGCCGAACTGCTGTTGGGCCGCGATTTCTTGAGCGTGGCCTACGCAGCGCAACGGCCGCTGGTGATGGCCGTGCTTCAAGCCACATCTGAAAGCGGGATTGTGCAAAATAGCACCCGCCTTGCCTTTTCCTTCTCAGGTCAAGAGTCTGTGCTTTTGACCATGGTGAGCGAAGAGGTGACCGGGGGGGCAGTCACGCTGCCACGCGGCGCTCACCGCCTTGAGCATCGCTTGTCTTCCAACCGCCCTGTGCAAACTTGTGCCGCCACCGCGCCGGACTGTGCATGCATGGAGCTGCGTCCAGCCGCTGACTGCACGGCGACGACAGTTTTTGTCTCGGATACGTGTGCTTGTCCGGCAGCTACGGTGCGAGTCGAGATGGCTACGGGGGCAGGCACAGCCACAGGACAGATTGCGGTTTCCGTAGACGGCATTTTCCCAACTTGCCTCTTGCGTTCCACACGTCTTAGTGCGTCCGTCTTGCGGCTGGGCTGGGCGTGCAGTGACAATGCTGGCATGGCCTTGGCGCGTGCACAAGTCCGACAAGGACCTGCACTGCTGGGCGTGTCATCGACCAGTGGCGCAGGCTTACTTACAGTGGAAGTGCAACCAACTACGGATGTTGATCGTCAGGTCGAGCTGCAGGTTGTGGCTTTAGATACGGCTGGCAACTCGCGATCTGAAGCACTCCAAGTGCCTGTTCCACCTGTAGTGACCGAGATGTCCGTGCAATTGCAGCGCCTATCAACAACCCAAGCGCGCGCTACATTGACCGCGCGAGGCCAAGTAGCAAATACAACCGTGTGGCTTGATCTGGTTGACGTAGCCCAGGGAAGTGGCATTCAGCCATCTGGCACACCAATCGAGATTCCAGCCAACGGTTCGGTGGTGCTTTCCACTGCGTTTGCGGCAGAGGGCTCTCGCGTCGTGGCTGTTGTGCATGGCCAAGACTCATTCGGAGCTTCTTTGCGTGCAACCAGCAACTCGTTAGTTGTCGATACGGGTGCAATCGGCACGTCGGCTGCGCAGCTATTTGCGCAAGCTTTACGCCGAAGTGCAACTCAGTGTGCGTTGCAAGTCGCCGTTTTGGGACTGCAAGTGCCGATTTCTGGAATGGATGCAATCCAAGTGCTCGTTACTCGAGCAGACGATGCCACCCAGATTCCGCTGTTACAGACCTCTGTTGCTTACAACAGTTTGCCACTGTTCATCTCGGAATTTGCCTGCGGTGATGCCACGCGTCTCTCCGTCGTGGCTTCATTGACTTCGCGGTACGGTCAGACGGCAACACTCTCTGCGGTCACCTCGCTGCCGGCTGCTAACAGTCTGCAGCCTGGCGCGATTATCATCGGGTCTGACGCGGCTGCAGGCATCATCAACGACAGTGCTGCTTTGCATGTCGTCACCGGCCAAGTGCCAGTATCCTTTGCTGCGTGTCAGTTTGTTAACGGAACTGCCGTGACTGACATCTATTATCAAGTTGCTCTCGGCAGCAGCTGTTCTTCAGATGACTTGGCAGCCAGCCTTTTTGTTGAGCAGCCTGGTACCTACCTCTTGCGACCAGCAGGTACCGCCCTGTCGGAAGCGGGCCCCAACATCAATGCATTTGCATCAGTGACATGCTTTAGCCCCACTGCCAGTGCGAGGTCGTGTTCGGCACACGCCACCTATGTTGTGCATCCACAACGACCCAATGTCACGATTAGTGTTTCAGGCTCGGCAATCATATCTGGTGCCCAGCCTCAACTCACCGTCTGCTTTGAACAGAGTGGCGGTGAACGCGGCACTCTGCAAATGATGGCCTGCACGAATCATACGACCTGCTTTGCAACTGATGCTGAAACGGCTGCTGCTGTAGCCGGCGCTCTGGGGGAGACGCTGCCAACCGAGGACTGTGTGTCTGTGCGCGTGCACACGGCCACCATGAGCTCAGCCTCCTTTCTACGCATTGTTCTTGAGGTTGAGGACAACTTGGGCTACAAAAGCTCGGATGAGCTTGATGTAGCCATTGACCTTGTCGCTCCACAGGCCACGGTCGTCGTGCCCGACCATATTGACGCCGGCGACACGACCCTTGATGTTCAGCTGGAAGACCTGCGTGACGATGCTGCGGGTGTATGTAGCATTCAGGCGGCGGTCTCAACTGGGAGCGAAGACAGCGACACAGCTCTCAATTGGGTGTCACAGACGGTGACATCGGCCCTGCAATTGACGATGCCAACCAATGCGGCCGTTGTTTTCGCCGTAGTCCAGCTTGTGGACTGCGCCGGCAATGTGGCTGTGTTGACTTCCAAGGCCGTTCCTGTGGGTACTGATTGGCAACCAATGCTCGGCCCTAACGTCACCTCAGTGGCCATTGCAGCTGCCGTCGAGGTCCAATCATCGGTGCAAGTTTCCCCAGCCGCCGACTACTGCGAACTGGTGATTGCTGATATCAATGGCGACAACTCGACAGGGGCCGTATATGGCCGCTTCTATCCGCAAGAAAGCGGACCTTTTACAGCTCAAGTCGTCCCAACGCGTGTTGTCACTTCTTTGCGCCTGGTGTTATCTTGCCATCTGGATGGCGTCGTACGTCAGGCCACCACTTCAGTAGTTGTGTCTCGTGATCTCTGGCAGGTGATGCCCACCATTCGCCCGCAATGCGAGGGTGCTGTGCTTAATGACAGTGTATGGCCGTGTCGCAATTTTGTGTTGGGAGGCCGCGTTGAAACGCATGTGACGTCCGTGTTTTTACTCCAGAACGCCGTGCGCACGGTGCGAGTGCCTGTCAATTCTAGCGGACATTTTAACTTGCGCGATGAAGCCCTTCCTGAGGATGTGCCGGGCATGAGCACAACATTTGGCATAGAAGCATGCTCGCCTCTTCATTGTGAGGCCCATGCTCTGGCTGAGGTTGTGCTGCTCTCCCGCAAGCCACTGATGGAGTCCATTCGCGTGTTGGCCGCTCCAGACATGGCTGCTGTCTTGCCGTTTGACGTGTCCGTGACCTATGCCGCGACAGTTTTGGCGCCCGAATCTCCTGTTGTCGCCATTGAGCTCTGTGTGGGTACAGTCCCCCTGTCAGCCGACAATGCCGAGGACGGTGATTGTGAGTTGTTGCTGGATGCCGCACCATTAACGGGTACCTTCAACATCTCGTTGGCGGGCGGGCAAACTGTCATATTTCTACGCTGCATTGCCATAGACGCGCTCGCACGCCGCAGCGAGAGTCTCGTGCACGCCCTTGAATTGGCAGCACCAATCTCTCCACCCGAGGTATCTTTTCAAACTCTGGAAGCGTGCACAAACAATCGGGTCGGCGCACCTTCCAACGAGCAGCACGTGTCCGAGTGGGCCTGCGTGTACGCAACGGCGGCGGAAACCAGTGCTGTCGTGCGCCTTGAACTAAGGAGCGAGCCAAGTGGCCTCACATTGTCTCGCTTGGTTGAACCGGGCTTGCATCTTTTGCCCTTGGCAGGAGTACCTGTCACCACGATGACCGGGTTTTCTGTCACTTTAACCGCACAGACTGTGTTGAGTGGCCGTGCATCAATGTCGGCAACAGCTGAGCTCAATGTCAGCCTTGAAGTGACGCCCCTGAGCGACCTGGATGTGCAACTCGTCAACGAGCAACTTGTCCTCACTTGGACAGGCGGACCTGTAGCGCCAGTCATGCGAGTCGTGTCTCGCGCGTTGGCCCTTGATGCTCGTTTGCTCAATCCCCAAAGCCCGGTCGAGCTAGCTGTGGACTTTGCCAGCGCAGTGCGACGGGTGGACGTGACTCTGGCTGTGAGCAAAAGCTCACCGGAAGATGCTACTACGGTCAAGTACTCCACTACGGTAACACGCCAAGCCGCGGCCTCGGTGCCCTCTGCGCCTCGACTCTATCTTGTGGATCAGGGGCAGGGTCGCCAGGTGAACAATGCGGTGGATTTGGGCCAGGCTGTTTTGCAGGCCTTCCCCCGTTCGGCTTGCACCCTGGTACTTTGTGAGTTGTGCTGGGAAGTTTCAGGCACCGAGCGCGCCTGTCGGGCCTTTAATGGTCAGGCTGACGCGAGTGTATGGTATACTCCTTTCAACGAGACCCTACCAATGACCTTTGAGCTGCAGGTGGCCGGGACCGTGACAGATGCTGTGATGGTCGCAGCCGATGTCAGCGATGTACATCGTCAAGCACTGGGTATAACTACGCGGGGCGATCTTGCTGCGTTGTCGTGGGACGTACCCACTGCAATCATGGAGGTATGCGAGGTGCAGCTCTGCGAGGACTGTTCTCGCCGTTTGATGGTCGATCCTGCGGCTGGTTTGTACAATTTGGAAGCCCTTACCAACCTTGCCAGTGTAACGTGCACCCGGGGACCCGACAAATTGGAGATGCAGCGTCCAGTGGTAACAGCGCTGACATTGCCCAATATTTCCATCATCGCTTCGCCGCACCTACATATCGTTGGCGACCAGGTCTTCGTGGCCAACGCAAGTGTTGTGCTGCACGTTGTGTCCTCAGACTATGACGCAGCCATCACCTTTGCACCCTTGGTGGTGGGTGACAGGACCGGGGCCGACTTGGCACCCGTGGCAGTCGACGCACTTGCAGCCCCCTTTGATTATGCCATTGGTGCCGATGATCTTGGCCTCGGAATCAATGTTGGCATTACTGCACCTGATGGGCAGCGCCTTGAGCTCTTCAACGTTGTACCCGCCTTTGCGGGACCCAGCATCGTCATGTCGCGTTGCATTCGACAGAATTCCCACGAGCTCTGGGTGCAGCTGACCACTGAAGATGTGGGCGTGGGCACAGACCACGTATTGTTGTGTCCTGGTGGTGATAGCGCGAGTGGCGTGGAGGCTGAAGAGCCCTGCCCCTCACCCTTGCGTTTGGAAGCTGATGCAGCTGCAGCCGGCCTAGCCGTCAGTTGGACGGACGCAGGCAGCACGCTGCGGGTCTGGGCCGTGGATGCTCTCGGCAATCGGGGTCCCGGGCTAGTTGTTGAAGTCAGTTCATGGGGCGCTGAGGGACTTGCCACCCCTGCTCTTCATCCCTTATCTGATTGTGCCCCGCTCGGAGTCGCTTGCTACTCGTGGACGGCCTTTGATCCGCTCGATCAATACGTGGTGTCTCTCGAGACATCAACCACCGACGCTGGCTCGCTGCCTTCACAGCAGCTTGTGGGCACTTTCCACAGCGTTCGCGAGGTGCGACTGCGCGAAGCGGACGTTGGTCGTCCTTCTGGCTTAGTCGTGACCTCGGTCAACACAAACCAAACGACACGAGTTGGGCTGCTCTGGCGTGCAACTGCAAGTCTTAACCTCACTGTGGCGTTGGTTCCGTGCGAAGAGCCGGATAGCACGCGTGCTGGGTCAGCTGCGGACCTGCTGTTGATCAACTCGACGCAATCTGTTCGAGTGGCGGTGTTTGGTCCGCCCACCACTGACTGGGAACAACTGGCTGCGTATGCTCAAGTTGAAATTTGGGACTTGACGGCTGGTGTGCAACAAGGCAAGGCCATGAGCCCCATTGTAACGGGAGCTCAAGCATCTACACACCCGGCACACCAGTCTGGCAATGCCACCTGCGTTCCCCCCGATGCTGAAATGGAGCTGGGTGCGATGCGCAGTGGCATGTACGTGCCCATTGAGGCAATGCTATTGCACGGGCACACATATGCTGCGCTATTGCGCATCTCTGAGCTTCCTGTGGCGTGGCCTTCGTTGTTGGTGGACGATGGACGGTTCTGCTTGGCAAGCGCTGCTTTGCATACCGTCATTGACGGCAGCCCAGTGTCCACGTGGTTGGCCACGCGTAACGTGCAACTCACGGCCGCGCTGAACCGCTGGCCGTGCACCGAGGCTTTCAGCAATACAGAGTGTATCGACGATGACAGCGACAGCAGTGTGGAAGACTCGTGTAACTTGGACAAGGTTCCAAACGTGGTTCATCCGCTGCCGCTCGCACTGCCAAGTAATGCCGTTTTGGCTGTGGCTCGCAACGACACTCAAGTCTTGGAAGTGCCCTTGAACTGGCCTGCCTGTGTTGTGGATTCAGCAGCGCCTCAAGTTTTGCAGACGTTGGGACTGCGTCGGTTCCTGCCCACGCTATCCAAATTTGATGCATACATGCGGTTGCTGAGCGGCCCGGAGTCCGCCGACGTGCTTGTGCTAGAGACCCGCGAAGCATTTGTTATTGTATCACCCCAAGGCGAACAAGCTGGACTTGTGCTTAAAGCACAGTATGGCAGCCTTTTTGCGTGGGATAGCAACATGCTGGTGCTGGCCGACCCAGCGCGTTCGACGGTCTCAATTTTCAGCGCCACCGCGTTGCTGGATGGCTCGCCTCAACCGAAGCGGGTGTTCAACCTTACGACAAGCGAGAGGGCTGTTGCTTTGGCAATGAGCAGTAATGGTCAACTCATAGTGAGCACCGACGCGACTTTGTCGTGCTATGATTTGATGGAGGGCCGTCAGCAGTGGGCGCGCGACTGGAGCAGTGGTGCCGCCTTCGTGGTGCCCACAACCGGTGCTGGCCGCGGCATGCTTCTTGTTGACGCAGCTGGCATGGTGCGTGTGGTCGCATCGGGTGCCGGGAGCTTGGCAGACGGAGGACCTGCAACAGAACCCGAAACCATCGTGCCGACGGGTGGTGCAGAGGTCAGCAGTGCCTGCGCGTTGCCGACAGGAGATGGTTATGTGGTGGCCATGGCGGCCGACAGTGTCAGAAATACTTCACTGCCCACGGCTCCTGGCCGCTTATTGCTCGTCGCCAATAATGGCAGCGTGATGATTCAGACGACCATGGCCTCAGACCTCGACGCTAGCTCACTGCAGTGCTTGGTGCATGGGTCATCATCTGCCTCCCCCGCCTCTTTTATTGCCCTCTCCTCGCTTCCGGGCGCTACCCCAGGCGGTGTGAGTGTAGTGGCGCTCTTTCAGGCAGACGTGCCCAATGCCATTTTGCACAATATCACGCGCATCTTGCCGGATGGGGATGACATTGATGCCTATGTCCTGGCTGACCGTGACGTCGCTAACAATGCGCTCACCTCTGTCCTTGGTGCGACGCTGCAAAACAATGCGTTTTATGCAATCGACGTGTCTGACGTTGCGGCACCCGCCCTGCGTGCGCATCCATTCTGTCCACCCAACACAAGCTTGATCCTCGAGCCTGCGGCTTATGTGGCGTCTCTGCGCTGTGAACCTTGTCCACCTGGCCAATGGTCGCCTGGCGGCTTCCACGCTACTTGCACTGGGCTTCCGGCGTGTGCAGACGTCTCCGATCTGGCCGTGACTGTGGCCGTGCCGGCCGAGGTGGCATGGGATAGTAACAGCAGCAATGTTGTCTCGATTGTTGCATCAGGAAGCAATCCGCGTGTGAGCCCGGTCCACCTCGCTGTAGGCACTTTTAAGTACGAGGTACAACCCCCCAGCGTTGCACAGCTTCTTGATGGCATTAGTTCCGCCGCCAACACGTGCAACAATGAGAGCAGCACCGGTTGCACGATGGACGGCACAGTGACAGACGACGAAGTGGCACAGGCCGATCCATACTCGTTTGCTTGTACTTTTTTGGCCCAGCACCAGGCACCCTTGGCATCGATGCAGATTCGCCTTGACGCCAACAATACCGTTGGCGTGCTTGTGCCGTGGACTGAGGTGGCCACGTCTTCTTCCAACTTTTCCATCGTTCTGGAAGATCCTGTCCCACAGGGTAGCAATGTGACGTGGACCGTCAGGGTTACGTCCGTGACAGGCGCTACCAGCATGACCACCTCCAGCGGCGTCATTGTCGACACTGAGCCGCCCCGCATCTCCCTCAATGATGGCCCACCAGACCGTGACTACAACTTTACCACCATCACAGACGCTCTCCTCATTTCCTTGGCTTCTTATTCGGCCGCCAGTCCACTGTCGGAGCTGGTTGTGAGCGTGGGCACAACGCCTTGTGGTGCGGAGTTGATTCCCCCCACCAGTCTTGGCTCAGGCCGAGCTTTTGGATTTGAGAATTTGATTTTGGATTCAAACGCCGTCTATTTTGCCTGCGCACAGGCAACAAGCGCGGCTGGTCTTCGCAGCAACTGGACCCTTTCCAACGGCGTTCGTGTGAAGAGCAGTGCCTCAGGTCAGGATGTTAAGAACCGCACGCTCGAGTTATTGCTACGCCCCAGCAAGTTGAATGAGGGTGCAGCTGAAGCAGAGACACTCTTTGACAAGAGCTCTGCTGGCGCAAATGCTTCAGCATCCGGGCCAACCGCCATCGAAGAGCCGGTGGCGGTTGGTTTGACTTTGCCTCAAAACTCTTTGGGTGACGACATCGAGATGACAACAGCGACCGAACAAAAGGACGGCGGGGAGGTGATTTCTCGGACGTATCTGACCTCTGGATATAGCTTCTCGCTCAATTTTGCAAATACCAGCGGTGGCGAGATGGGCGAGCACTATTACTTTCCCAACGGAAGCTACCCCGTCATCACAACCTATCACAATCCGTCCAAGATCCTGGCCGAGATGCAAGGGCAGGTCGACGAAGATGGCTTGGAGGATTTGATTCCCAAGCTACTGGTCCGTACTGGGCCGAATCCTGAGGATGTCACCCCTGCTGCGGAAACATGCGCGCCCGCCGACCGTTTCGAAAGCTACAACTTCACCACGGGCATCTTGCGCACGCGCATCTGCCACGCATCGGATTTTATTGTTGTATTTACACATGCTCGCATGGACGGCGAATTGTACCTCATGTACAACTTTTTGGCTGGACAGCTGCAGCTGCAACGCAAGCGCGGTGCAGTTGGCGTTTGCAGCGTGGCCATTGATGTCACATCGCGCGGCTCGGTGTCAACAAGACAAAGCTTTTCGCTCGCTGCGCGCGAGTGGAGCTCGACAGTTCAACTGACGAGTCCGAAGAGCATCCAACACATTCAAGTACTTGAAACCACTGGTTGCACGCTTGCAAGCTCTACAACCGTCTACGAGCGACCGGCAGCATCATCTTCACCCGCCATTGACCCGCAGGTGCCATCCTATGTGGCGACAGCTGTGCTAATGGTGCTTCTGGGCCTTTGCGTTCTGGACTGCGCCCTTGCAGCTGGGTTACTGAGGAACAAAATACGTTGCGGAACTGATGACCATCGCAAATTTATGCTTGGGCGTGCCGCTTTGTTCGTGCTTGTGGCGGCGGAGATTGTGGCGTTGCATGTCACTGGGTCTGCAAGCTGTCGTTGGTTGGGCTTGTGCATCAGTGCGCTGGCCATGCTTGTCGTGGTTTGTGCCTCTCTGGCCTCAATTACCACACGAGTGGCTGCTGTGCTATCCGGTCAGTACTGTGTGTGTGTGTGTGTGTGTGTGTATGTGTGTGTGTGTGTGTGAGAGAGAGAGAGTGTGTGTGTGAGTATGCGTATGTCGTTCAAATTTAATGTCTGCCTCACTCACAAAGTGTTTGGTATTGCAGCTCTCTGGTTTGGTCTCTTGTTGGGATTGCAGATGGGCGTTGAACCTGACACATTCGGGGCTGGTCACAATGAAGCGTATGTTATGCCTCTTTTGCCCATGTTTCCGGTTTCACGCTACTTGTGTCGCTCACCTCCTGGCTTCGTTGGGTCGGCCTTTGACAGGTGTACCGGTCGCTCTCTGGCTGGTGTGCTCCTGACTTTGCTTGCTCCATCTTTGTTGGCTCTGGTTGGCTTCTCGTGGCATTGGAGACAAAAGAGCACCCGACCTTCAGATCTAAGCCACGAACGCATGCGCTCACAGTCCAAGCTGATGTTGGCTGATATCAACAAGACGACCGTTGGCTTCGTCCTGTTGTGCTTGTTCTTGGTGCAACAATTGGAGTGGGACATCCGAGCAGAGGCCAAGATTGTGCTTTGCGTTTTGGTCGCTACTTGTGCTCTGCTCATCGCCGTATGGCATCGTCGACGTCAGCGCTGGCATCTGGATAGCTCCTCTGCTGAATCTCAAGAGGTACGTCGTCATGTTTTTCTAGTTGCCATCTTAGGGTCAGGGACGGGTAGCGTTGATTTTGTTGGGATCTGAATTGGAAGGCTGGAACGGGATTCCATGCTGTTTGAAGGAGAAGGGGCTTTTCGTTTCTGCGTCTCATCATCCTGTGGCTTGCCTGCAATCATCTGACATGTGTGTTCCTCAGCATGAGCTAGGCCGCCTGCGACGCGGCAACCACGAGACCTTTGAGAATGCTGTGTATGGCGAGCACGAGGCGGCGCCCCAAACTGCTTGGAATGCCAAGGCCAATGCGCGCACCAATATCTTGAATCCTGTGTTCAATGTTACTGACTTTGAGGAAGAGCCCACAGACCCATTGGAATCCTACGATAACATGGTATGTCCACATGTTGTCGCGGCAGTGGACGATGCGTGGAGCTCGGTTGCTCATCTGACCTTGTGTATTCTTTGATAGCATCGCACGGGTCAATACCTGACCGTTGAGGAAGAGTCATCGGCGGATGAAGAGGAGGAGACAGCAGCGCATGCACGCCCCGCTGTGGACTTTGATTATGAAGTGATCGAGGACATTTTGGATCAACGCGACCCCGACTATTTCGACATAGGGCCGGAAGAGGAAGGTGCTGAGAGTCTGCTAGCATCGGCAACCACCCACCCCTCCTTCCTGCGTCGCACTTCTCCACAGCAAGCGGACATGTGGCTGCGCATGTCCGACCAGACGAGGTGCTTGGTGCGCAGTCTCGATGGCAATGGCATCGTATTCTTGAAGAAGCACGGAAAGGTCGTGATGCACTACGACCTGCGTGTGGATGAGAAGGACAATGCGTTTGTTGACGGCATCTCAATCGGACCTTACTGTGGACTAGCAGCACTGATCGATATGGCTGACTTTGTGGCTGCGGTTTGTACCCTGTTGTCCAGTGCTCTAAACCAGTGATTTCCTGCTCCGTGCAGGCCCTGATGCGACTTTTTGGCTCATCAACCACGTAATTGCTCTTAGAATCAGCTGGATGAACGCGCGACCACCCTGGCACCGGCTGGCCCGATGCAGCACCGACCACCCGCAGCTGCTTCTGCAGCTGGTGTGGCTGATACGGACTGGTCTGCGCAGAGCCTGATCTCGCGCTTTGAAACATCCCTACAGTCATCCCTCTGCCCAACACCCAAGACGGCCGTACGTTCGAACACATGCGCGTCGTTGAATGGGTAAAGTGGAGAGTCTCCGTGCCAACTTCATTTCCTCATGATTTTCACTTTGCTTTTTTTTTCTTGTTTCTTTTGTTCTCGGCTTGCCTTGTAGGCTTCTGTTGTGTCAGAATATGAGGAAGCCTTTGGTTTTGGAGGCGTAGACGAGGCCGAACTTGAGACGGGCTTTGGCTTTGGTCAAGACATTGACGACCGAACCGGTTCAGACACCAACTCTCTGGCCAACACCAGCGTAGTGGATGCCGACCTTTGGGTTCGTCTCATATTGGGCATGCGATGCTCGCATACAATTCAATTTCAATTTCAGGCTGAAATGCTCACCTTGATGCCGTTGTCTGCATTGTGTACAACAGGCGGACCTTGATGTGCTTGCGGAAGCGGAACTTGAAAAGTGAAGTTTGCGTGATGAAGAAACGCTTGGAAATGGTGTGGTGTTTTTGAGATGTCATTAAAGTGTAAACCTAATTGTGTTCGGCCCGTTCGTGCGAACGTGACGTTGGCCTTTGAGTTGCGTGTAGCTGGCTGCTGAAGATGTGGCTTGAGTAAGTGCAGTGCTGTAAGCGTATTTTTCCTTTTGTTATTCTACCAATTGTTTTCTCTTAAGCCAAAAAGTTTATGTGAGATTGTGTTTGTCGGTTTTGATGGCGAACTGCCGTGTCTAGTTCAATTGATTGATCATTGATTTCAGAACGACCTCTTCATAACAATGGGAAAGCGCATGGAAGGTGGAGGTATTTAGTAGGAGGCAAATGAAGCATACAGCTTGTTTAGTTGCTCAAGGAAAATAAAGGTCAGGACGGTATGAGGTCCCAGCCTCGAGTAGTAGGGCAGAAACCCTTTCCAGAGGGCGAAGAAGCCCTCTTGGCGGACTACCTTGCCGAGTACATCTGCGACACCCTTTGAAGGGTGCACAAGAGCGCATGTGAGCACGTGCGTGTCCATTCGAGGTCAGCCCAGATCGGTTGGAGGAGAGTCAAAGCTATATCGGTTTTGGTTAGGGTTGGCTGCATACCGAATACTCTGGCACGCCGTTGATCGTACGCATGTTTTGGATGCGTGTTTTGACAATGTCGACCGGCATGGAGGCCACTGTGGTGAGAACGCCGCTGACCATCGACGCCAGAAAGTGAAGCTTGAGGCCATCAGGCACTTGATCTGGGTAGGAGGCCATGTCGGTGAGAGCGTGGCAACACATGGGAAGGAGCGACGGATAGCAAAACCATAGATGCATATGCCAGAAGAAGAAGAAGAAGAAACAGAAGAAGGAGAAGAAGGAGAAGAAGAGGCAGAGGTTTCAGAAAAGGCGTGACGCACAATTGCTCTGAATAGCTTGCTTTGCCTCCGAATATGAAGCCAGCTGGGTGGCATTGAGCACCATGGCGCGAGCCACAGTTGGCACACACCCCTGTTGCGGGTATAAAGGTGGTTGAGGCGTGTGCAAACGACGAGTGAGATAAGCGAAGCACATATGGGAGAAGAGCCATATTGTCCAAGAAGAGCACAAGAACTCACACGCCAAAGGGTGGCAATGCCCTCTTCGCGAGCAACGCGAACTAGGGCATTTCCTACACCCGTGTAGCCGCGACGCTCAGCGGCAGGCAGGCTGATGGAGTACAAGGTCAACATAGATCCAGAGACATCAGGGAGCGTGTTTGGTGGCACAAGCCATGAAATGATGAGCGCACAATATTTATACGTACGCGCCGTCGGCAGACATGCGAATCAATGCCACTTCGGCCGGGGTGCCAACAATGGCGCCAGAGGCACCAGCGGTCAAGCCTGTAGGCAAAGGGGTTAATCAATTGATCAGGCTGCACAATCGAGGGCGATGGATGCATATCGGTGAGCCTAGGACGGGTCAGCGGCGGCATTGTCCCATACCGATGGCTACTTTGGTCGCAAAGCTTGGAGGAGTGCCGTTGGGATTGCTACATGGACAAAAGAAGGCGGTCAGAGGGGTGTGAGGACTCGGGGCGATTTAGCAGCGGGGAGGACATTATGATGATAACAAACAGGGTGCAGGGGTTTGATGAGACCTGAAGTGGTCAAAAAGGGTGGTGTAAACCCCAAGACGCGTGGTCGTGTAAGTGGCCTGACGCAAGAGTCCAGCGGAAAGCCCAGTATAGACGGCTAGGGCGCCCTCGTTGCGCACGATGGCGGATAGTGTTTGAGCAAAGGAAAGGCTCTGCCCACCCCCACGCCCTGCAGCAGCGGAGCGAGTTGAGTGAGGAAAAAGAGAATGGGTCGGCGTGCAGGGTTGGTGTAGGTATCAATGCGCGCCAAAATGGATAGACATGAAGGGCGCAAGGATCACAGGCCCAGAAGCTCGACCAAGGCCCTGGCCGTGGGATAGTTGGGGCAAGAAAGGGAAGCGATAACACCCACCAGCCAGCTGCATGCGGTTCTTGATGAGGTCCAAGGGCTGGACGAAGCAAGTGGCAGCCATTCCGGCCAGACCGCCAAAAATAAACTTGGTGTGATTTGGTGGCGCAGCAGGCGCAGGCCCGCTTGGCGCGGCGCCATTCTTGGTCGTAGCCATTCTGAAGTGACTGATCCTGATCGCGTCAATACATGCCACTGTGGTGAGCTCACACCTCTGCACCAAAGATCACCGGCGCCGTTCTTGATCAGCAGTATCTGTGCAAACACTCACAGCTGATGGATACAAGAGTGGAGCGAGGAGCGAGGAGCGAGGAGAGAGGAGAGAGGAGAGTGGAGCGAGGAGCGAGGAGAGAGGAGCGAGGAGAGAGGAGCGAGGAAAGAGGAGCGAGGAGAGAGGAGCGAGGAGCTCCAGATAACCCGACACAAACCACTGCGCGAGAAGATGCACCCGCAGAAAATGCCGCTCGATGGTTGAGCAGCCACCGATATGATGACAACATAAAGTCCGTACATGTATGCATTAACCAAGTGAGTCATCCTTAATAAATCTTCGAATAGTCTATATTTTGCTACGCATATTTCAGTTATGTTCGTAGAAGGCGTCAAGTGCATGGGCAATTGCAATGTCAGCCAAATTCCACAGCGAATGAAAGTAAAATACTTTAGGAATATGAAAGAAACCTGACTGCATTCGCAGCCTGTATTCCGAAATATTTCGAAAAGGTTCTCGAGGGAAAACCGGCTTGAAACAATACAGAAGGACGGCTTTCGCCCCAAGAACGAAATTCAGGAGGTCTTTCGGCGCCCGAAGAGGCAGCGCCACTACGAGGCAAGGTCTATCCTCCTCCTGCCGGGTCCATGCTTCTATCTTCTCCTGCTCCACGACTTGGCATCGGCATCTCTCGGTCATGATGATGATGATCATAACCTAGCGTTGTTGTCGGCTCTCAGACCGGCCTCTCTGCTCTGTTGTCATCATTCTGAGTCGAGGGGACTTTTTCGAAGTTTGCGTGCTTGCTGACTATTGGATGATGAGCCAATAGCTCCATGTCCTTGTGGCATCCCCCCCCGCCCCCGTATCTGCTGTGCAGCTCTTTGAAGGCTTTGCCGGTGACCTTGAACCTTGTCCTTCTCGCCGTGGCCCAATGTGATCCCCCCTTCCTTCATACACGGAATCATCCTCTTGTTACCCCGATGCGCAGCGCACAAGGCATCGAGCGTTGTCGAAATCGAACAGTCATCAGTCCACACACACACACACACACACACACACACACACACACACAAAGACGAAGACAAAGACAAAGACGAAAAAGAAACAAAGGAACCTTGAAAATTTCATGTTTAACGTTTCTGTCTCCTCTAACCAATTCTCTCTCTCTTTCTCTGTTGTGTGTGGCCCGTTTTTTTTTTTTGGATCGTCGGGTCTGGGCTTTGGCTGGTGTCACCTTCCGCCGCCTGCCACAACCGCCCCTTCACACTGCCATATTATATTATAATATACATGTACACAGAGGGTACACAATTACTTGCCAACCACGAGCTGCTTCGTTGTTGTTCTTGGCCTTGGCCTTGCCAGCTCGCGTCTCCCCTTGCCCTCTGCTGCGTTTTCGATGGTCCAAGGTAACGGATAGAAAAACGGTCAAGTTCTTCCAGCCTCACTATTCCTCGTTCCCGCTTGCCGTGCAAGTCCATTGTGGACGGCGTCCAGCTGAGAGGCTTGACCAACTCGGGGACGGCTGCTTTCCATGCTGCCGCTTCCGCCAGCCGCCCTTGTTGCACACTTCCACTCCAGACCGCGTCACGGGTGCCGTCACCGCCCTTGATCCGGGTTGTTGCACAGCGCCACGCGCCCGGTCGGCGCCTCCCGCCCCACCTGCACAATGGCTCAACCATCCGCCAGTTTGGCAGCTCTGGCCGCTCGTACACCCGCGCGTGATGTCAAGGGTGAGCGCAATCAACGCCTTGTGATTTTTTTTTCTTTTTTTTTGTTTCCGACTCGCCGTGCTCGCACAGCCGCCGCTGTTTCGCTCCAGGTGCTGTTCTCAATCCTTGTTCCCATCCAACCCCACCCTTTTCGTCCAGACACTGCTCCCAATCCCGTCTCTGCCACGGCATCACCGCCTTCCAGCGAGAAGCTGCCTCGCGGCGCTCACCCTAGCCTCCACCAGAAAGCCGTTGGTACGATCCCTTATCTTCCTTTTCCCCTTTTTCCACTTTGTAACCGTTTTCGCTTCTTTTTCCCTTTGCAACGTTACACTTCTTTCTACCTTTTTGATTTCGTGCGAGCGTTTGAATTTTTTTCTTTCTTTGTGTGTGTGTGTGTGTGTGTGTGTGTGTGTGTGTGTGTGTGTGTGTGTGTGTGTGTGTGTGAAATTTTGCCTTACTTTTGACCGTTGAACTAGCCGTTGTAATGGTCAAGCAAAGAGAGAGAGAGAGAGAGAGAGAGAGAGAACTTTTGGGGGGTGCACGTACCACACCGTTGGGATCCACATGCATCCTTTTTTTTTTTTTTTTTCAGATATCGGTCTGTTCACTGAACCAGCACACGGTGGGCGGGCGCTGCCGTTTGTTCCACTGGGCCTTGTTCTTCTCGGCTATCTCTCTGAGTGCCCTTGACTCAGCCTCTTTGTTCTTTGTTCATGTTGTGGATCGCGAGCTTGCCCTTATTTGCTTGCCTTCAGTTGTGCATTTCGACCCGTTCTCTTTGCAATGATCGAGGGTCTCACCGGGTATCTTGCCTTGTGGTAGATCATTCTTCACCGCAATCTTCCCCACCTGGCGCGGCGGGCAACTCTTCCTCAACGGTTGGTCGCTCTGCCGCCGACTCGACGTCGTTCACGGCCCTCTTGGGACGTCTTGCTTTCACCTTGGGGTGCACTGAATTTTGTTAGGCTCTGTTAAACCGCACAAGCGCACGGCCTGTAGGCGCAGCAGTCGTTGCTGCCGCAGCCCCTGCATCCACTCGCGGCAATTACAACCGACAACCCGTTCCGGTCGCCAACAACAGTACGGCCTCTAGTTTTAGTCAAGCCACCCACACAAGCCCACAACATCCCCGCTATGCATTGAGCACACCGCCCCGCAGCGTTGGCCCGGTACCCATGTACCCTGGCACGTCTGTACCGGGTGTCAAGCCATCCGACGTCATGCAAGCTCCTTCACGGGTTCCCTATCGAGCCCCGCGCTCAGGTGGCAAACAAACGCTGGCCTCAAGCCATCCTACTTCCAATCCCGCCTTGGGCACCCCGAACCATTCGGTTTCTGCCCCAGGCGTTGGCTCTGGGTCAACAACTACCCTGGTCATGGCTTCGCCCGTGACCACAGTTGCTGGTAGCACTGGTGCCAGCCCTAGCCTTTCAAGTACATCTGCGGTCAAGCGACCCGAGTCGCGCCGCAAGTCATCACCATCAACCGCTGACCATTCCACGCTCCCGCCTGTTCCCTACTTCAAGGCCAGCCAGGCGCTCGCGAGGACCAATTCCGAGCCTCTTCGTGCGGCCCCCCGCACCACTGATGCTCTGATGCTGTCACGCTTTGCTTCAGAAACCGATCACGGACCCCTTACGCAGGAGTCGATGGCGGCCCTCTCCCGCGACGTGGCCAGCACGCAAGACTCTGAATCCCTACACAGTTCGACATCCTCTGATCAGGATGGGGAAGATGGGTCGCGCACTAGCAGTCGAGGCCGCAGTCACAGCACTCGGCGCTGGACCAAGGCTGAGGATCAGCGCCTCGTTGAGGCTGTGGAACGCCATCAGGGCAAGAATTGGAAGAAGGTTGCCGAGGAATTTGAGGGCAGGACTGACGTCCAGTGTCTGCATCGCTGGCAAAAGGTACTCAACCCGGATCTGGTCAAGGGACCCTGGACCAAGGAGGAGGACGACCTTGTTATTCAACTCGTTGACAAGTATGGCCCCAAGCGCTGGTCCCTGATTGCTGGCCACCTCAAAGGACGCATTGGCAAACAGTGCCGTGAGCGCTGGCACAACCATCTCCACCCCGACATCAAAAAGACTCCATGGACTGCTGAAGAGGAACGTGTCATCATGAACGCCCACCTGCGTCTCGGCAACAAGTGGGCTGAAATTGCCAAGCTCCTCCCCGGACGGTATGTCGCAACACCCCCAATGGCTTCACAGCTTCCCTCATTCGTACCCTTGATCTGCTTGTTGAGCACGCACGCGCGCGTGAAAGCTCTGCTTGTCCACTCCTGCGCATGCGTTGGATGTGCGCATACTCATCCACCTCATACCTGCATGTAGAACGGACAACTCAGTCAAGAACCACTGGAATTCTACCATGCGGCGCCGGAAGCAGAAAAAGCCAGTGGCTGCCTCCCATGACACGACCGCTGCGCGCAACGAGGCTACCGCTCCTGCGAGTAACACTGCCAACAGTACAGGGACCAGCACGCCAACCAGCCCCAAGCCCAAAGGCAAAGCCGCAGCTCGGGGGCGGGCCAAGCGGGGGCAGCCCAAGCAAGAAGCGGACGACCATCAGTCAACAACCTTGCCCTCTGATTTGGCAAGCAACGCAGATACGGCGGACGCATTGGCGAAGGTGGGCTTGCTGTTGGAAGCAGCTCGCACAACGCAAACACCTCCGCCCGCAAGCAAGCGCTCTAAACTAACTTCGCCCCCAGAACAAGAGGCCTTTAAATTGGAGCGGTTACGTACGCCGCCGCACTCAGAGTCCATGTCGCGAAGACAGAGTGCGCACGATCCAGGAAGCCCGGAGCCACGCTCACCCAATAGTCGAGATGTCGCCACCACGTCGAGGCGTGGTTCCAGCCCCGACAAATTTGCCGCACTTCACAGTCTCACCGAAGCCGCTGCTGAGGCTGCATCTCGAGGTGAGCTTTCCAAATCGGGTGAAAGCTGATCACCCCGGCTTTGCCCGTGGACACGCCTTTGTTTGTTTGGTTGTGTGTGTATATGTTTGTTTTTCTTACTTACTTTTTGGGTAAATGTCTCTGCAGGCGCCGGCTCTCGTGGCTCGGAACAGGGCGAATCGGTGGTGCGCCCGACCACAAACCCGGGCTTGACAACACCACAGCGGCATCGGGTCGTTGACTCGGCTCTGAACGATGAACGGTCACCACAGGTGCAAACCCCCCGACAATTGCGCATGGCCGGCAAGAGCCTGGTGGTGCAATCACCGGGTACCAAGGAGTTTTTGGATGCCGTTCAGATGCTCCACACGGCCACCAATTAGGTGTATCACCCAACACTCGAGTCCAGAGGGCCAACTCTGTGTTCATCTACAAGGCCGTACGTAGCGGGCTGGTGTCATGCGTGGTGCGCAGCTCTTCTGCATGTGAAGGCATGTGTGTGTCTCTGGTGTGTGGTTATTGTTCTTCCGTTCTTCCTTGTTCTGTCAGCATTTGGTTGCCTTTGGCTTTTGCTCTTGAGAAAAAAGGCATTTGGCGCGCGATTGTTATTGATGTCTGCACGGGTCTTGTTACAAACCTGACTGGTCCCCTCGCCTATTTCCTCTGATGGTCGGAACCTCGAGCTTGATCGATCTTTTTCACGGTCGAGGATTGTTTTACTGTTTGACATTTGTTTCCCCAACTTTTTCGTGTTTTCTTTCTTGATTTCCTTCGTTATTTGAGTGGTCGATTGATTCCTGGCTTGCGCAGCACCGAACTTTGTTCTTGTGGTTTGTGTGTTGACTTTGTGTGTGTGTGTGTGCCAGGTTATGGCAGTGTCCAGACCGGTGTGTTGTCGCGCCAAGGAGGAGAGACAATCGAGTGAACAAAGACGTGCTGGTCGAATATAAATTTGCAGTGAAGTTTCCGTGCAACGGAAAGGTCCGCAGACCATGGGCACACTTGGATAGGAAAAAGAGCATCCCAGATGCACAAAGAGAAAAAAAAGGGTTGACTCTATCCAGGACCAGAGACAAACGCAAGGCCTGGCAGCAGCCAAAGGCGCGCGCTAACCGCGCACCCTTGCCAAACAGCTGCATCATCAGCCAAACAATTGGGACAGCTACAGGAATCAGTGAACAAGAACATGATGACACGACACAAGGGTATTTTGCAAAGGCAACTACATACAGGGCAAGCCATGACCCAACACACTCAGGTAGATACGGACGTGCCCAACGCGACCAAGGGCAATCAGTGGGAATCAAAAAAAAAAGAAGGAAAAACACATGGACCAAATTAAACCGCCATTAAGGAGGAAAGCGTGTCCAAAACACAAGACGGCCGAGCGCCAAATGCAGAGGTATCGAGTACAAGGTGATAAAGAGATGGGATCAGAACAGAGATTCAAGAAGGAAGAAAAGTACAGGCAGGTTCGGATTCGAGTCGAAGAAGAGGCGTCTGCTCTCAGAGCTCGTGCTCAAGAGGCGCGGGGCACTAGATTGAACAAAGAAGATGGACGGCCTCGGTCATGTACGTGTGCCGCTTGGCGGCCAGAAAATCAGAAAGTTGTCGACTGCTTAAGCTTTGTTGAGTGCACTGAGCTGGCTGGCCGGTTTGAGTGGCCCGTGACAGTGCACACAAGATTTGCCGAGGTCAACGTAGTGGGGCACAAATTCGCAGCGAGGGCAGCGATATTTGAGCTTGATGAAGCGCAAGGCGCAAGCATTACAATAGGTTTCTTTCTCCACCTCGCGCCAAGTGGGGGTACTAGAGATGTTCAGGGCAAGAAAAAAAGAACGGGGAAGGTGAGCCAAAAACCCAGGGATGGTGCTTGACAAATCGAACAATGCCATGCAAGGCTCAAAATGGCTCGGTCGAGAGTGGGTCATTGTGCGAGAGAAAGACATACTCATGCGTCTTGCATGACACGCAAGTGCGGCTGGTGGTGCCACGGCGTTTGTGTGCGCGTTTGGGGGTGATCTGGGCGCCATTTGACTGGCTGAAGCGCCGCCGGCTGGGAACGGGGGCATCCTTGCGCTCTTGAGCGGCGAGCATGTGTTTGATGACCATGTGGGTATTGCGAGGAAGACGATCAAAATCCACTTCAATACCACCAGTGGGGCGATACCACCAGGACACGTTTTCCTCAGAGGTGTGGCGGATGATATCCAAAACGGCACCTATCAGGGAACATAAGCGCAGCGATAGCAATGAGGTGAGCATGGCCATGACCAAGTCTAATAGAGGATGGGAACAAAAAAAAGGGACAGCGACAGAGAGAGAGAGCGAGCGACCGACAGGGACGCACCGGCTTTGACGTGATTAAGACGCGCCACACGCTGGGCAAGCTGGAGGCATTCGGTGTGTGGCATGTCGGTTTGAGCCTGATCAGCATTCTTGAATGGGGTGATGGTTCCAACAGGGGCTGGGACTTGGGGCTGGGCAAGGGTCGGGACCGACCCAAGCAGGGACTGCGTCACAGGACCAGCGGGTTGCGTTCCGGTGACCGTAGAGCTGATGGTAGTGGTGAGGTTGGGGGCTGTTGAGGCGCGTGTCAAAGGAATTTTGCTGGGCTCTGGGGCCATCTGGCTCAACGTGTTGGCGGAGACGCTGCCATCTAAGAGGGAGGGGAAACAATGATCAAGAGGAAAACAGTCAAATGAGGGAGTTTCGCGAGGAGAATCTTGGAGGGTTCAGAGTCAGAAAGGAAAGAAGGAAGAAGGGGCAAGTCAAAGCGGTGCGTACCGCCAAAAGGATCAGTGGCAACATCATTTACGCCAGGGGGCTTGGTCAACAAGTCGGAGGCCTGCGCACCGTTGGAGGAGGCGTTGGTGGAGGTGGCTGCAGAAGGGGCAGGTTTGTCGTCGAAAACATCGTTGGTCAAGTCATCCGAGTTTTGGGGGTCATCAGCGTCCGGCACAACGAGGTCAAGGTTGGTGGAAGAGCTCAGGCGCAGGTTGTCGGGGAGGGAGGGCAGGCGGTTGAGGGCGGAGAAAGAGGCCGCACTCTTGCGCGGGTGCTCGATACTGTCAAGGAGTTGCTCGGTCTGTGCGACCGAAGGTCGACGGGCGTACATCATGTTTCCAATGCTGGGAAGACGGCTTGGCGCATCAAATTCACGTAGACCCGCGTCGGCTACCACTTCCATGCTATGCTGGGCTTCCGACTGGCAGCTGTCAACCCTTGGCGTTCAAACGGCAGCCACCTCTGGTTGCTCAAGTACTCCACACACACACATGCAGACGCACACGTATTGATAAATAGATCTGTACCCAGGCAATAGTCGGTCGACCAGCTATGCAAGAGGCGGAAGGACGTGGCGCTGGACGCGCGCACGCGAAAGAAGAGAGAGAGAGAGAGAGAGAGGAGAGAGAGATGTCAGGGACTTTTGGAGGCGATGGTGGCAATGAGAAAAATGAAAGAGAGGACGTGGTCAAGTCTGTTTTTCTCTCTCTCTCCCTCTCTCTTTCTCTCTCTCCCTCTCTGTCTCTCTCTCTGTGTTTCTGTGCTTTCGTGGGATGTCACCCAAACGGTTGAAGGGAAGATAGGAAGGTGGACGAGAGGGACTCCAACGGCGCCGAGTGGTGCTGTGGGAATGGGGTGTGGCTGTTGGTGGAAGGATCAAGAAGTAGACTGCTGCGCCAAGTGTATGTTTGCAGATGCAGCCAAACAGGATGAAGTGAGAGAAAAGGATAAAGGAACGCACTCACACTCTGCCCCGTCCCTGCTCTCACAGTCTGTTTGGCTATGGTTCCCCTTGGGCTGTTGACTCGCTCAACTCATTCCTCCTCCCCGCTGCCGTGCCTCTCTGAACGAAACGAAGCATTGGCTGCGCCGAATCCAGCGACTGCCTGGTCTCTCACTCCTTCAGCCCAAAGCCGAAGCCGCAGCCTCCCCTGCCTGATACGGCCAGCTTCTTCTTGCCCAACTCTACCTAGCTCTGTTCAACCGGCTGCCAGCCTTCAGAGCCAGGCGCTGCCAACCAGCCCCGCCTCTTCGCGCGACCCCCTGTGGTTCTCGAAAGAGAGGTGTGTGCGTGTCGTGTAAAGCATCCCTGTGGTCAGATCAACCAGCAGGCGCAACACATCTTGTGGGAGACGTTGACGGGTGGGTGACAGGGCGCCCGATTTTGCACATGCAGCACGCCATCAATTTGTATCACAAATCACACTTTGACCATTTAAAGTCTGATAAAGTTTACATTATGATCAATTTGTCTGCGTTCGTAAGACCAGTCCCATAACCCACAAAACAAACATGTGGGTGGAGGGGAAAAGTGACGTATGGTGACTGGGACGACGTGGGAAGAGATCGTTCTAACGGCTTCTGTTATCTCTGCGTAGCCCACCACAATCTGCCCACCTCTCTGGATTCCTCTGTTAAACCCTATGTTATAACCGAGGTTTCGACGATAGCCAACCGTGTCTCTCTGAGGTAACACCGAGTTTCATCAAGGTTCTCTTGTTTCCTTTTCGTGTGAAACGGGACAAGATGTGCACCAATTCCCCAAACGCTGGACTGGCGCTTGTGATGGAACTTGCACATGCAAGTGAAGGCAGCCTTGGGCGTGCGGTAAGGTTCGCGACGCGGACACCAGAGAGTGAGGGGCCGGCCAGAAGGATGCTCCATGAGAATAGCAGCAGCAGCAGAAGCAGCAGAAGCAGCACAGGGGACGGACAGGGGAGAGGCCTGAGGCAAAACCAAATTAATTTATTAAGCTTTTGCAATATGCCCTTGAGAATCATTAACATCGGATGTAAATTTTGTGCTCCCCGGTGAAGGGATAATAGTGTCTCGTCGCTTGGGCCAGGTCTAGCTTTTTTTGCGTCAGAGAGGAGCTGATCCAGTCCAAGGCAGTCAGCAAGCATCAAAGCGACCGGCTTTATTTAAGTCGTATGATTTCTCGAGAATTCGACCAAGCCTGCCTTGACGCATTGCTGTTGTTAGCTTGACCGTTTTTTTTCTTGCGCCTCGCTCCCTTTCCCCCTTTCTGACCAATTTGGAGGTCTGAGCTGACCGGGTTCAGATGGGTCTGGTGCGCGTTCATAGGAGGCCTTTGCACATGCAGCTGACTGACTCATCACACCCCTTGCCAAACGTCGGGGAGAATCGCTCAAGGCACTTGGCTCATCCATTATTCTGAATTGACTGAGGAGCCACGTATCGCCCGAGCCCGACGCGAACTTTTTTTCTGACTTTGCAAAAACTCGGTCGAATGTCATGCCCAACCCATTCCGACCCATGCGCAATGCGCATATGGGGTGCTTGACACCTGGTGTTGCATACCATTGGTGCACTATTGCGCCCGCGCCTCGACCCCATACGCTCGTGCCCTGCCGCGCGGTCGATATAACGTGGCCACCATCCTGCCGGGTTACGATACACGCAACAAACGCAATGTCAACCCTGTCATTGACAAAAACTTGGCACGTCCGCGCGCCCTCACATAACACCGCAGCTCGTTCTGCGAGTCGTCTACTGTGGAGCACAGGTGTGCCCGGTGCCAGTCATCCCTACTGATCCCTGTTATGTGGTACGACCTGTAGGAGCGAAAAAGGGCACAGGCATTACCCCTCGTGAACCCCCTTTTGGCCGCTGAACCTGCCCTGTGGGACCGAGGCAAGGCCTCGCCTTGCAGATCTAGGCATCCCGCTCGCGCACACACACGCACACACACGCACACACACACACACTAGCAACAGGACGCACCAACTATGCCCCAAGGAAGGTCGCCATGAAGGGTCGGACTGACTCGATTACCGAACCCAAAACATCATCAACACTCGTCAATATGGCTGGAATCAGCTGCGCTGCAGCATCGCCCACTTGTCAGCTAGAGAGGAAAAGCAACCATGACCAGCATCGTCGCACGGTACCCATATCTGCCAAACTGCATCCACATCCATCCGTCGCCAAACTCGTTCCATCTCTTTTCTCGCAATCGACACAGCTCAGCAAAGCGCCGCCATGAGCCGATCACGTTCTTGGATCAGCTGGGCCTTCCGCTGCCGGAATCGCTCCTAATCCACGCACAACCCGACCTTGGGGAATGAGTGTCACGCAAAACAAAGCAGCAGACGGCTCAGATTGCAGGTATGCACGCACCAGGAGTTTGATGGTCTTCTTGTCGGGACTGGGAGACGGTGAAGCAACAGATGCGCAAGTGTCCGAGGTTGCCGCCGTGGCCAGTGGGCGCGAGAGAAGCAGTTCGACGTAGGATTCCTCCTCCTCCAGCTGTGCCTGTGCTCGTGCCAATTGCCCCTCCGTCTGCTCAATGTCCACAGCTAGTTGCCCGCAGGCCTCAGTCAGTTGAAGCACCTCAGTCGAGCGAGCCCGGTACTCCTTTTGCATCAAGCTATGTCGCTCCTCCGTGGCCAATTGCTGTGAAATTCCAAAGCGAACACAGGGGGAAAAGATCAGAGGCCAAATACACCCTTGAGTCAAACACCACTCAGCTCAGGTCGCAGCATCACATTCACACAGCTACGAAGAACCAAGTCCAATAGATTAAACAAGTCTTTCCCGTGCTGGGTAGTGCATGGGAAGGCCTTTCGTCGCACCGTGTTGTGCAAGTCCAACCGAGCAGCTTCGAGCTCGGTTTCAAGCCTTTGACGCTGTTCTTCCAGTTCAGCACACAGAGAATGCGTATACTGCATGCCACGGGCCAGGCAATCCATGCAGTGAGCAGCAGCGGGGCTGGCGCCATTCCATTTCAGTCAAGACATCTCCAATCCCTGAACCACTGCGCTATGCATCTGTTCACCTCCCCCCTCTGTTCCAAACACGCCATTTCGGCTGGGAGCAGGGCCATGATACCATCTCACCTCGAGAAGTAGCGATGTTTCTTTCATGTACGCGCCAGCTTCGGCTTCATAATCATCCGAAGCGTAATTCCAGACTTGCCCCGTGTCAATGTTCCGAGCCCGCCCGTGACCCGTCTTGTGAAAGTGCCTGCCTCGGAAAAAAAAAAAAAAAAAAAAAAAAAAAAAACAAGGGTGCAAGCACACGCATACACATCCGCATATTCAGGATGAGAGAAGGAGACTTGTCAAAATTGCAGCCAAGCCCATGGTGAGGTCCTGTTCCGCCCTCAGGCGCGCGACAAATCGAAGAAACGTACGCAAGTGCGTGGCCATTGCCATCCGAGGTGCCATCGCCCTGCCACTGCTGGCGGGAACAATTGATCTCACCACAGGTCAAGCACATCCAAAGATGCGAGCGCAAGTCGCACTGCCCACAGGTCTGCAGCTCGCTTGCAAAATCTTTGCGGCAGATGGGGCACACCGTGTTCTCGTAGTCGGCAAAGCAGACCAAATGAAACCAGTGCCCACAGGCGAGGACCAACGGCAGGTTGGTATCACTGTGAGCCTCGAGACAGATGGTACAGTTGGCCGACGCATCCACCTCACAAGTCAACTCTCGCAACTCGTCCACGTCCACCTGCCGCAAAGGGTGCCGCGGAAACATTTTGCTCAGATGGGCCTCCACCACCGCCACGTCATCCGCTGACCACGTTTCGAAATAGTAGCACAGGCCTGCATTTTTGAACGGGCACCCCATCACACACACACACATGGCGCAGGCCATTAGCATACCAAGTTCCCAAGGCCAATACACTCCAAATCAAGGCGAACGCACCCAAGTCTCCCTCACAAGGTCGCGTCACGTAGAGGCGGCGCAGCTGGACCCATCAGGATGCATGAACCGTGAGTCAACAACTTTCAAGAGCAACGTCCACTTCCCATGGCTTGAAGCCGACTCACCAGACTGGGAATGCTTGACCGCAAGACCAGATTTTGCAGCACAGATAAGGTTTCCAACACGTCGCGTAGCTCCAACCCCGCCGCCACCTCCGCCTCGGCTGCCGCCGCCACAGCCGCCATCTTGGTCGTTGAGCCCGGAAGAAAACAGAAAATAAATATCTGACATCTTCATGTCAGATTGGGTTTGTGTAGAGAGAATGAAGGTTATTGAAGAAAATATTGTGGGAACAACGTCAGATACTGCATATGCTTGAGAAAGTTTGTGGCAAGACCTTGGAGCTTTTTGTTGCTATTTGAGCCCAAAAAATTTTAAATTTTTTTTGGTTGGAAAGAAAGAAAAAAAATCATGGCGACGACGACAGGAGCGCAGCGGGGAACGGGTTGCTACTTTGTCGGTTTGGACGACGCAGCGGGTCAGGCCAGCGAGACTGGGTCAAGCTGTGATGATAAATTTACTTGCCAAGCGCCAGCAAAAGCAGATGGCTCGCTTCAAGCTGCCTTTGAACGGTTTCGCAATCAACGCCGGGTCCGTGACCTCACATCCAATGACTTGTGACATCTGCGCCCTCTGGCTCACCGTATGCTTCAATCTCGCTCTGGGCTGCATGTGACATGCAGGCCAACCTACAGCAGGCTCAACGAAAAGCTCAGGAGAAACGAGCAGCCCGGACACCGGAGCAGCGCCAAGCTCTACGCCAGCGATTTCTCCAGCAGGTCCGCGTGCTTGCCAACCGTATCTTCCACGACGTACACCACCCGCACCCTCATGGCGCATCGCCTGTTTCAGATCAAATCCTACATGGGCATCCCGTACTCGCGCAAATACCACCGCGATCCCAGCTGTGAGCTATCCATGCTGTGCCAGTACAGACCCCTTCGGTGCCGTGCCGTTGAATCTCATACTTCGCCTTGCTCGGGTGCACCTCTCAGCTCCCCACTACGACGCGCCATTATATCTAGACTGCTGCGGCTTGGTTCGCCAGGCTCTTCGCGATCTTGAAAAGGAATTTGGCTTCTCTGTCGGTCCCTGGAACCAGGCCTACCAGGTTGTGAAGACATGGTCCATGGCTTGTCGGAATTTGGTGCAACCATTCACCACTCACCACTCACCACTCAACGCTTTGCCTGGCCCCGTTGCCGTTGCCGTTGGTGCCATCGTTTCGGAAAATTTGCCGGGCTTTTCTAGTTTGATACCCTGCCGGTGGCCCTGACCCCAGAAACCATGCAGCCCGGCGACTTGGTTTTCATCTCTGGTGACTACTTTCGCCCCACGGTGCGTGCGACAGCAGTGTCCTCCCCGTTCGTGCCCATCACAGATCAATGACGCTCGGCCTGCTACGCAGAAACGCACGCAACGTCACCAAATGGTCCACGTGGAAGTTTGGTTGGGCGAAGGCGAAAAGACCATTGGAGCGCGCCACCAAACGGGGGTTATACAGGTCTGCTCGATTCCATCCCATCTTGCCCGTGCACTCGATGCCACCCAGCGCGCCTGTCTCTGATCACGCCGTCCCCAGTTGCACTTGCCTATGGACAATGCCTCAAACACCCGTTCCTCCCTCCTGCTGCGTCTGATGACAGGTTCACGACTCGTACAAGTTTGTCAGCAAGTCGTACGGCAACATGCAATTCTACTTCCGCTCCATCGATACCTGGCTAGATGGGGTGTGCAAGAGCCATTGCACCGAGCACGATTGGCTCAGCAAAGCCGAGCGGCGGAACAAGTACTCCCTCTTTGGTACGTCTGGCATTGAGGCAAGCCAGGACCTTCTTGGCAACGCTCAAGACGCCACCGATACGGCCCGTGAGGAAGAGGCGGATCAGGACGCTGACATTGCAGCGAGTGATGACGACGAGTTGGAGTAGCAGGGGCGGCGGGCAACGATCGGCCGGCCGTAACACCCCTCAAGTCCAACAGCACCTGTTGTCTGTCAAAAAATGGGTTGTCATGCGAACTGGGCGACCTTTGCATAATCATCATTATTATTACCCAGGATTGATGCGTGCTGCTTAAAGTGTCAGTCAATTATCATGTTCAAATGCCAAGATAACTCAATCACCTGAAACCAGTCACCAAGCGATCTTCAATGGTTGATGGAAGCAAGCGCGGGCCAAAAAGCGCCTACACCAACGCATGTGACATCTCGGGCTCGGTCGACTGAAGAATGGCTTGTACCAGACGTGCTCCCTGATCACGCGCATCGGCCGTACTAGGCTCTGCATCACCCACCCCGTTGCCAGCTTTGGGTGCGGCCTCCTCCACCTCTGTTGCCATGTCTTCTTCCACATTTGAGTCGCCAAAAACATGAGGAATGCCACGTTGATGCAAGTGCTTAACATCACGTTCATCCAAACTGCGCAGCGACTTGGCCATGGCTGCCTCCGGACGGCCCAACCCCAGGTCGTCCCAGTGCTTGAAGTGGTAATTGGCTGTGGCGATGCGCAGATGCAGACGCGTGTCCCAGTTGTGGTCTTTCTTACTCGACGCCTACAGATGTGCCGGTCGAGTGGTGTGCGATCAGGTGACGCAAGTCTCACACACGATGGGATACCGCCGCCCTTCTGGCTGGTTGGCACATGCAGGGTCCAACATCACTAACCTTGGTGAGCATGTCTACCACACGTGCGGTAGGCTGACCATCTTGTCGGAACCAAAGCATGGCCAGTTCATAGCGCGCGTAAAACACTAGCCAGTCCTCGTTCTTCAGCTCGGGACGCAAATCCTCGACCTGGCCGATTCGAAAAGAAAAGGATTAAAAAAAAAAAAAGAAAGGAAAATAAACATGAGTATAAACCTTGCAGCGGGCGCAAATGACAGGAGGCTTGCGCACACACACGCACACACGCACACACATCCAACACATCCAACACATCCAGCACACTTACACACCTCTTGAAAACTATTCTCAGCTTGGCTTTGCATGCCCAATTGTGCGCACAGAGCACCATATAGGGTCGTGACCAAGGCACGCTTATCAGGTGACGTAGTTGCATCTAGCTTACTCCGTTCCCGTGCTACGTCGTCAAAAGCCATATCAAGCACTGCTCGATTCATGTGGTAAAATCCGGCCCAGACATATAGGATCTAAATGGGCACACAGCCATGGCCCTCTTAGCTTCATGGTATGCCAGTGTCGCTCGGGCGGTTGCAAGGCTCACAAACCTCAAGGGCGGACAAGACGAGATCGTAGTCGTGGTCGTAGACATTATCATTCGCCCGTCGTTTGCAAAAAATGTCCACGGGAATTCGGCCCGTCCCAAACTTGATCACTTCCATGTCTTTGATGGCTTGAAAGCGCTGAAGCGCCTCTGAACGCCGGCCCAGGTGATCCAAGCATGTGGCAGCCATGTAGCTGTAGAAGACCTTTACAAAACAGAAGCCCAGGAGAGAGAAGCACATGAGGCAAAGTCAAGAAGGCCAGAAAACACGGAGATCACGCTCAATGCCCCGAACCTTGGACCAATCGTTGGTGTCGAGGAGGATGAGCCAATGCTTCAGCGCCTGCTCAAAGTCGTAGAGCGCCATGGCGGAGAAGGCAATCTCGTAATCGCACATGTCGGCCAACGGCTTCCACTCAGACTGACGGTCCTTGGCACGGTGGTAACACTCGAGGCTGCGCACTGACTGCCGCCGCAAGCGCGCATAGCGGCCTTCAAACATGTAAAACCAGCCCGAATCGGGATAACGCTCCGCAGCCACTGCCATGATCATGCCAACATCCTCCTGATACTTTTCAGTGCCCAGATCGTAGGTGGATTGTAGAAAGGTATGGTGCATCAGCAGGCCCAACCCGGCGATTGGTGAAAGAACCGAATTATGCTTGTAGGCAGCGAGCAAGCTGTTGATACCATCTGCACGCGAAGTCGGAAAGCCGAGGATCTTGGCCACGGCTAGGATCTTGGGAGGCAGAATGGAGCAAGCCAGATTGAAGACACCAAAACCAAAGTCAATGGCAGCGCGAGTCTCCAAGTGCACGGGGTCCTTCTGCCCGGGTTCAAACTCGACCAACTTGCTGAGCCGGGAATAATTTTGCCAGACGGTGCGGACGTTCAGACCAGCCGACACCTTATCAAAAACCGAGCCTCCGAGCAGGCTCAAGATGGCATGAAGGAGCATGCACTCGGTCTCCATGACCTCGTAAAAGATGGCCTCTGGGCTCAGCGTTTCCTTGGCTCGACTGCCAAACCACGAGCTGGCAGGCCTCATGGCTTTGCGCAGGTCGCGGGCCATACCCTGAGCCCGGGTGGCCATTTCTTGCCCCCGCTTGACGTCTTCCTCCTCCATGGTGAGCAAAGCCCAGAGCCAGAGGATGGCAGTTTTGCCCAATGCAAAGATGGGCACGTCAATGTGCTCGTCGAAAAAGGCCTCAGCCTGTCGCGGCTGGTTGATGAAGAAGAGCTACGAGTGAACAGGCATGCAAGCTGATGAGATGTGCGCGTGCGTGCGTGCTCGTTGTGCGCCTCTGCGGTTTGACGAGTTTTATGGCTGTCGTGATGTTGAGCCTGATGGAGGGCTACGAGGGGCGGCCGGTTCAGAAACTTTTGTGATACCTTGAAGCCATGCCGAATCTCGGCGTTGGTCATGTCCGCAAGCTTGGGCAGGCCCTCTTCGTCGAAAGGAACGTGATGCTCCATTGTGTGGGCGCCTTGTTGTTGCCAAATCAACTGCAGGACACACCTTCCTTACGACCAGCTCTTGCGTGGGCTCCTCGTCGCCCCTCTCACCAACAACTGGGCTGGCACCACCCCTGCCCGTCGTTAAAAACACGATGGGACGGCCCAG